TCGGTTTAGGTTCGAATCCCTCTATTCTCTTTGTCCCTATTCTTTAGTTTTTCAGTTTTTCTTATTTTGTATGTTACTGTGGTTATTTTTGTAATAATAGCGGGTTCGCCCGTTTATTTTTAGATTAGTATTGCCTATTTCACATAATTAAACAGAAAATGATTACAATCATTTGTACACTTTTGTTTTATAAATATAGTATGCTTTCATCTGTTTAACTACATATCTTTACAAATTTTTATTCGCAAATCCCTTTGCGAGTAAATTGTGATGTGTCTAGAATTAGGCTGCATGGTAGAATTTTCGGTAGCATACTTATTATATGTTCTTAGAAATAAGTTCGAATATGTCTTATTTTGTAAATTACGAATGATATTCAGATGCCTATAATTTAAAGACAGACATGTTATGTTATATTTGTATTTCTCTTACCAATTAATTGTGAACTTAGATTTATTAATGCATCGTTGAACATGAATTTAAACTCACTTACAATACCTTCTAATTAAGAAAAGGCTTTAATTTTGAAAAGACATCAGCACAATAGTTTAGTTAGAGATACAATGAATAGGCGCGGATTCATGAAAAACAAACCATTCGCCCTCCGGGCTTATAGTTTCTTTTCCAGGAATCAAAGCTTATTCGTTGAATCTATATTACATAATACACGATGGTCTTGAAGTATAGATTCTGGGTACTAACGTTGTTTATCATCTTAATAACGTGTAATGGTATTTTTTTATTTGTCTTTATGATTATTACTTTTACTGTTTAGTCTGTTTTGTGTGATATCCATTTGACGTGGTCATGTACTTATACATCCCGTCATTGTGTTATTGTGTTTTGGTAAATTTTTGTATTCTTGTCTTTCAGTTTTGCTGATGTGCTTTATCTATATGTCTTTTTTGTGTTTCCTTGTTACATATTTGTTTGTTTTTATAATGATTACCATTATAACACAATGGTGACTGCTGTTCACCTTTTTTTGACATTTTTAACTATGATGTCTGTTTGTTTTGATCACACATCGTTGTCAATATAATGGAATTTTATGCGACTGTCATGCAAGTGAGAAATTTAGCTAGCTATAAAACCGGGTTTAATCCACCATTTTCTACATTAGAAATTTAATTTTGCCATTTGATTACGGACTTTCCGTTTTGGATATTCCTAGGAGTTCGGTATTTTTGTTATTCTACTTTTTGTTTGTTTTACCGTCGTTTCTCTTTTCTCATGGTGTCTTACTTAGTCGTGTTGTTTTATTATTTAGTGTTTTTTGTTTCGTTTTGTGACTGTTGTTTGTTTAACCATCGTTTCTCTTTTGTCATGATGTTTTTCTTCAGTTTACTGCCTCTTTGTGTATTCTCCTTTTTTTATAAAATTTATGGAAATTCCAAAGACACGTGTTGCACTGAACACACACAGAAATTGGTATAATACGTGTTTTATATCACCGAGGGAACAATTTGCACAGTAGCCAAACAGTTTTAATCTTTAAATTGTCCGTTTAAAACTATGTTACTGTTTTGCAACTCATTAAGAAAATTCTGACCTAAGTTTGATGTTACTAGACGTCAATTGACAAATATTTCATGGATATTCAGGACTAGAACAATAAACAATTAATTGTTATCATTATGAATGTTCTGTAAAATGAATCCACAGGTATTGAGTGGTACAATTTCGACTGCCACTGGATGAGATATATGACTTAGGTCAGGCCAACTTTTGGCGCCTGACAGCATTGTCGCAAGTGTTCTATAAAGTAAAAAACAGTGGCACTTTATCCAAATTAGGTTTCGATTTAACGTCCGAATTCCGACGATGGTGGCTGCATAATTTTACATCCCGCATAGCCAAACAGGTGTCTTACATCCTGTGGCTTTTTTCAACTCCAACAATCCGTGTCGTGCCCATAGAAATGAAAATTAAACATAGTCTCACGGTTTCAAGTTTTTCTCATAGGGGTTGTCACCGCAAAAAAGAATACGTAAATATTCTTTCTGAATAGGATAAGACTGAGGTCGTAGACATAAATTAGTATTACATGTAAAATAAACTGTTAACACAGAGATATGTCTCGCCTTTTTGTAATTTTGAAAATTCAAATGTTGAAATTAAAATAGCAATACTTTAACATGTAAGTTATGCAAATATTCAAAGTCAATGAACCATGACTGAAGGTACATAGCTAAACAACCTCCATGGAAATGATATGTGCCAATGCTAATACAACTGCATACCAAATACCATTGACTTATCATGAGTCGTTCCCTTTAAACAAACCTAAACATAAACATTAACTTGTAAACTATGTAAATGTTTCAAAGTCAACGAACCATGATGAGGGGGTGGGGCTATATAATCTCAATGGAAACGAGACTTGCAAATGCCAATAAATTTGCATACAAAATATCATTGACTTAACATTAGCAGTTCATCTTAAACTGATCTAATCACAAACTAATATATGTAAACTAAGCAGAAGTTTCAAAGTCAATAGACCATGACTGAGGGGGCTGGGCCAAATATTCTCCATGGAATTGAGATTTACTAATGCTTATACAACTGCATACCAACTAACATTAGCCTACCACTAATGGTTCCCCTTGAACTGACCTAATCACAAACTATTACATGTAAACTAAGCAAAAGTTTCAAAGTCAATAGACCATGACTGATGGGGGCGAACCAAATAACTCCATGGAAATGAGATATGCCAATGCTTATAGAACTGCATACCAAATATCATTGATCTACCACTAGTAGTTCCCCATAAACTGACCTAATCACAATCTAATACATTAAAACTAAGCAAAAGTTTCAGAGTCAATAGACCATGACTGAGGGGGCGGGGCCAAATAATCTCCATGGAAATGAGATATGCCAATGCTTATACAACTGCATACCAAATATTATTGGCTTACCACAAGTGGTTCCCCATAAACTGACCTAATCATAAACTAATACGTGTAAACTAAGCAAAGTTTCAAAGCCAAATAGACCATAACTGAGGGGGTGGGGCCAAATAATCTCCATGGTAATGAGATGTGTCAATACTAATACAACTGCATACCAGATATCATTGACCTACCACTAGTGGTTCACCATAAACTAGACCTAATCACAAACTAATACATTGCTGACGCCGCCGCCGCCGGAAACAGCATATCTATGTCTCGCTTTTTGACTCCGTCAAGGCGAGACAAAAACTGAATGGGTCTATGAATACTATATTGCTATATTTATCTTTACAATCTTATTTTTTTTTTTCTAATTTGAGCTTTAACAGTATCAGATGTTTGTTTTTGTTTGACAGCTGGTTTATATCTGTGTGTAGTTTTCTAAAGGGTGCACTTTACATGTGTACTAATACATATGATGAAGTGTCTATGGTGAATAGATTTCACTAAATACTCTCCTTCCTCAGGGGCTAAAACTAAGGGTTTTTTTTTTTTAGAGAAAAACAAATAATTTGCTTAAAAATGCATGGAAAGTTATGATTTTGTAGATAATTGTTTGACGGATGTTCTAATGGGCTTAATCATGTCAATGTCAAAAGGAGCTGTTAAACTATAAGACCATAACAACTCATTCAATTCACCATGCTCTCTGAAGACCGCCACCGGGTGCGGGATTTTTCGCTGCGTTGATGACCCATTGGTGGCCTTGGGCTGTTTTCTGCTCTTCGGTCGGTTTGTTATCTCTGTGACACATTCCCCATTTCCATTCTCACTTCTATTTCATCGTAACCTTAAATAGAGGTTTTCTATTGACTATTTTCGTTTGGCCCTAGATTAGAATTCATGGGTACTCGACACTACCTCTTTTACAGATCTTCACCAATGCAACATTGTTTTACACATTAATCTGGTGTGGTGCATGTATAGCAGGAGATGTTTACCATGTTCATGTACAGTGGCGCTTCTTTAAGAGTTGATGTGTTTTCCTCAGTGTGTTTATATTCTAAATGGATTTTAAACATTCCATTATTTGTTTACTACTGTTGTCTCTTATTTGAAAAAGCAAACACAGAATATTTAAACGATCATTGTATGTTTCATACCAACAATCCTTGCTGGTTGTATATTCAGTTTTAGTGGATATGATGTTAGAAGTTTGCTGAGTTTATCAACAATAAGTCTTCTAGTAGTTTATCCTTGGCAGATGTTTATATAAGTTTGTTCATAACAAGTTCATGTCAAATATATTTAATACTGAAGGAACGAATGTGCCAGATTTTCAGGAAAAAACGTGTGGCTTAGATTGAAAGAGATATAGATTTGCTTGTGCAGTTTGTTCTATATACCATAACAAGCATAAACCTCTTTGGCATTTATTTACAAATACATTATCTATGCCTTTTCAAAAATTAAATTCTACCAACCATAGGAAATTCTTGATTGTCTTTGACCTCGCAAAAATTCATATTTGGTACCTGTTTTTAGATGTATTCAATCGTGTTTTACTGTTGTTAAGTCTGGCAATCACAATCTTTCATCGTTTAATGTCTTTGAAAAACATTGCTTTTGTAGACGAAATGCGCGTCTGGCAAACAAAGCTTTAATCCTAGTATCTATGATACATGTAAGTTTATTTACAACCACTGGGTCGATGCCACTGCTGGTGGAGGTTAACTCCCAACAGTATCACCAGCCCAGTAAACAGTATATAAAGTAACAGTTTTAGTCATAATTCATAGTGCTTCAGGCAAACAATTTTAGTCAAAACAGTGATAGAGGCAGTCTTACATGAGAGTTTTGATGGGGGGTTCTTCATTTCTGTCTTCTTCAATATTTTAGGTAATTTTTCTTTATTCTGTATATTTTTTGCATATTATTTTCTTTCTTTATATTTTAGCATCCCATTATTCTCTTTTCTTTTTTTGCCCTATTTTTCTCTATTCTTTATATTGTTTTGCCAATTATTCACCACTTTTTGACCATTATTCTCTATTTTGTAAACCCCATCCAGAGCCTTTTACATACATAACTAGAATCCAAGTTTTTCTGTTCTTTTATTATATTACATTTACACAATGTACAATGGTTTGTTTAACATCAAGTGTACAATACTGAGTTTTGATTTATCATTTTGGCAATGGATCTTATAACACTGTTTTTGAGATAACAAAATTTAAAATTCACACCGTAAAACAAAAAAGTAAAACATAATCTTAATGTTAATTTTGTTTACAATAGTTTCACTTAATGTCTGCAAGTAATGATTTATTCTAAAATGATCTGCTAAGGATCAGTAGCAGATACATAAGTAGAAAGTGGACCAAAAGAACAAATGGACAGTCTCATTGTCGTTAATACAACTTTCTTTAATTTTAACATGTAATGCTTTCTTTTCCCGATTGATCATTGTTTTTCAGCATGTTCGTTACTCTGATTCAAAATAAAAAGCTTTTATAAAGACTGTTATACATTAATAGTTTATACATCACATAATTAAAAGAGTGGGAAAAATTTAAGGTCATTGTCCTTGTTTTTGAGAGATAAGCCATAGAAAATTTGGCGGTAAACAATTCTCTCCAGATTTTTCATACAATGAACATTGGCAAGTTTATTCTTTCCAAAACTATGAAAAATAACATTGATTTAATAAGATTTTCAAAAATGTTTTTTTTAACTATTTGTAATAATTGTACAATTTTTAATGGCACCACCTGGCAAACGGCAAAATTTTCCTACATATCACATAAAAATCAATTGAGACGTACATTCTAACAATGTCTTAGTTATTTTCAAAGACAAAAATGGTATCAAAAAATTTGGTAATCTAAAAAATGAAAACAACATGTTATAAATTTCAGGTGTCAAAAGCGCTTTTCTGGATTTACCTTCCTCAGGAATGCTCAAAGCTAAATATTAAATAACTTTATGATTTAATCCATTTCATAATTTTTTAACAGTAGCAATTCTTTAAATCATTTCGAGGAGATAACTCTACAAAACATTCATGAATGTTGATTTGTTATAAGATGATAAATTTTCAATGCTATTTTCAAACATGGTTTAAATACAGAAAAAATCATTTGTTTTTCTATTCTGAACCTTGAAGTTTTTTTCTAATTTGGTTTTTGTTTTGAGATTGAGTTTCTTTATTTATGAATAACAAAATCAATACACTGTACTTACTATATAAGTTAAATCAGAAAAAAATCGTTTTGAAGTAATGTCTGAAAAATAAGCAGTGTATTTTGCAAGCTATAGATAAATGTTTCCTGTAAAAACACACTAATAAACATATAAATTTACACCAATCAATTTCAGAATTACTACCAACAGATCATATCTTTTTAGACAGCCTTTTAAAAATATATAAACAATATGTTTAACATACAAAATGCAACGCCTGGATCAGTCTTTCAATAAATACTCCATAGATTGACAAGTTACATGATCAACATAAAAACATGTAAAAATTATAAGATAACAATGATATATTTACAATGAATAAAAATCTCTAACAACATTTATGTACAATAACACTTATTAATTGTCATAAAAAATTTCAAAGATTTAACTAATCACATACATTAGCTTTGTCAAAATAACTTTGCTTTTCATCTCATGCTGTTTGGGGAAACTCTATAAAAGGTTAAATATGTGTGCAAAAAAAACTTCTTTTTTTCTTATTCATATTTTTGTAGGTAGTTTTGTCTTGTTGTTTCACAATTTTAAGTAGAGGTTAAAGGGTGAGTTTATCAATACTCCGTCTAAGAAGAACTGCAGGGAAAGTTCTCCAAATGATCTTTAATCATCTCAACAGTGGATTGTTGGATGGTTGGCTGTTTTAACGTCCAGTGACAAATTAAATGCATATTTATGATGATAGTTTGATAATGTGATATGAATATAATCCCAGCTTTGTACTAGATCAACACACTGAGTCGGACTTTTAATGTGCTAGTTAAGAAATTAACAGTGAGCAGGAAGACATGTTAATATACCCGCACACATAACACTGACTCCGAGCAGACCTGGCAGTCTTAGCTCTAACTCCTACATGAAAATGTCAAAGCATCTCTTGTTTTGTCTTTTAAATACACATGTGGAATTTATTTGGCTTATTTCAAGTTTTGTTCATTAGTATTGTTTTTTCTCAAAATGAAAAAAATTAAAGTCGAAACATGAAATGTTTATGTTGTGGTTTCATGCAACTGCTTAGATGTCTTGGCTAAATTTGACAAGCCTTTTATCAAGTTTTTGGTTTTCAATCCTCTTTAACTAACTTGATTAAATCACCGTCCAAATGATTGATTTGAGTGTCACCAATGAGTCTTGGTGTAGACCAAAAGGACAGCTGAATATATAATACTAAGTTTGGTGTGCTTGAATATATACATTTAATTGGGAGGTTTTTCTCACCCAAAGACTTTAGTAACCCCATTTAGTAAATACCTATTGCACAGCTTAAGTCTGAATAAAAAAAAATTGAAATCACATTAGACACAATTTGTTTATAATGAAATATACAAAAATGGTTCCCTCAACTTTGGAATGATATGTAAACATTCATAATATGGAAGTGAACACAATATTTGATTCAGTTATGCAAAATATCTTATTTTCTTTGGTATTTTAGCCAAACTATACACATATTTACTGCATTTTGCAAATCAATATGACAATCCTTTATCTAAGTGTTCATTAGTTAGTCTTACTTAGCTAAACATAATAGCACTATAGGTTTTTACCACAAAATAGCTACAAAAACAACATATTTACGGCACAGTTTGTAATGCCATTGCAACGAACATTTAAGTGATTTTTGAGTGTCCAACCTGATCAGATTTCTACTTCCAAGAAAATGTATCTTTCTAAATTCATCCTAAAAAGAATCCCCGGGGGCGGGGATCACTGAGAGGCATTGTCTGCAAAACCTCGTCCAATAGTTGCAGAGGTCGATGGAGTTGTACCTCTATCCAACATGGTGTCTCTTTAATGCTGTGTCTTGGATAGTCTGGGCCCCAGCCTTTCACAAAGCTCAACCTTAATATACACAACCTCCGTAAGTCATCAACACCTATCCCTGCAGCTGCACTTAAACCTGAAAGTACAAAATGTTTATATTTTAATGTGTTTACTATACCTGCACAGATGCATCTTCTTATTTACTCCTGGAAACTTAGAAGATGGCAGCTTACTTGATAATTGGGATTCCACTTCATAGAATATTGTGGTCTACCTCTTGCAAGACCACTGTAATTGTTAATGTATATCCAACTTTCATAGCTATTTTTATTGCTGAAAAACTATCTTATGTTTCTCGATTTTTCAAGTTCTCAAATTGCTATCTGAATGAGACATATCCAACATATACTTTTATTTATGATGATCAAATGAGATAGCAAGATTTGGATATATAAATTCATCAAAGGTACATATACCAGACTTATAATTTGGTACATAAGAGCTCAGCAATTCAAGCACTGTTCGTTTGCTTATTTTTCCCATGTGCACATTGTGATTTTATACATTCTTTCTTTTCCAGATTACCAATAGTCAGTCAGGGGTACTACTTATACAAGTTATTTTTATTTACTTCAAATAGTAAATAATAATATACTTATATAAATAAATTTGTTTTATTCATATTTTCTTATAAGGTTTGAATAGTCTCCCCTTAATTTTCACAAAAAATTTACTTGTATATTAAAGTAATTTTTTTTTACAATCCCTAAAATTCTCACGTTTTGGGATGTAAAAACATGCCTTAACAATTCTTCTCTGGTTAGCTCATAATTTTTTATTAGAGTTAAAAGTTTCATCTCATTAATTCAACAAAGAAACTAATTGCACAAAGATGTTTAAAAGTAATTGTGCAAGGCCTTCAAAAACTGCCCCTTGGAGGCTTGTAAATGAGCAGTGTTTTGAAGATAACAGACAAATGAGATTTTCATTGTCCATGAAATTACATTAAATGATTAGTAAAGACATCTGCAAAGGACAGACAATTAAAAATTCTATTAGAGCAAAGAAAGTCCTGAGAAATTCAAGAAAAGAAGAAAGTATGAATTTTTTACTTGTATAAGTAAAAACAGTGATATTGTTTGCTTCAAATTACATCCAAAATTTGGCTTTTTCCCCTAGAGAAAAATTCCCAATTACTAAAATAAATGGCTTAAAATTCCTCCCAATAAGTTTTACATTTTTCCCAAAAGTGATGGCATTGGTATTAATGAATGTAAATTTCATATTCATGTTATTATTTTGATATTATGAAAGCGCTTTTGAGATCCAGGTTTCTGATCAGAATCATCACGGTGTTTGTAACACATGTGGTTTTCAATGCATTAAGTACCATCATTGTTTCCGTCTCTTTCCCCTCCCCAAAAAGTACCTTTCAGGTTTAAAATGTCTGACAATAAAAAAATATGCGTGATAAAACTGTGCAAAAAAGACAGTAAAGTTTAGAAAAAAAATCGGAGATGTGTTTTAAAAAAAATAAACCAACTTCCCAATTTCAATAACAATTATGCATTTTTCCCCAAAAAAACAGTAGAGGTAGTTTTGAAAAAAGACAACAATATCACTGGAAATAATCTGAATGTCTAAGGGACATAACTAAGCCATTAAAATAATTTACCTATACAAGTAAATAAAATACACTTGTATAAGTATCTTAAAAATTTAATTATATAAGTATATTAATATTTACTTCTTCAAGCAAATAAAAATAACTTGTACAAGTAGTACCCCTGACTGATCGTAGAAATACACAAAATTTGGAATAAACATTTTTTTTTATTAACATTTACTTTTGAAAAATGTGAAAAATGCGGAATTTAGGACAAATGTATGGCAAATTTTACATGTTAAAATTCTAGTTCTCAATGTAATAATGTAAACATACCAACAGCTGGAGCAATGCCACCAACTGAAGCAGGTCCTGGAACATTTCCTGCCACAGCAGCAGCCTGTGCAGCAGCTGCCGCCTGGGCTGTTGCCGCTTGTTGTTGCATCTGTCTATGACACTGCCGAATATCAAATACCTACAAAAATTTTCAAATGTTACAATATATAAGTAGATGAGACAATTATCCAACAGAGTTCAAATGACGTGGATGATGGCAACTATAGGTCACAGTACAGCCATCAGCAATTAGCAAAAGGACAAAATGTTAGACAATTTAAACATGAAAGCTAACAGTTAATTCAAGGTACAAAACAATAAACAAAAAAATATGCTTTTTTTTTATGCACCTGTCCTAAGTCAGGAGCCTGTTGTTCAGTGGTTGTCGTTTGTTCGTGTGGTTTGTACGTGTTTCTTGTTTTTTATATATCGTTTAGACAGTTGGTTTTCCTGTTTGAATTGTTTACACTAGTCACTTTGGGGCCCTTTATAGCTTGCTGTTCGGTTTGAGCCAAGGCTCTGTGTTGAAGGTCGTACTATAATTGTTAACATTTTATACATTGTGACTTGGATGGAGAGTTGTCTCATTGGCATACCACATCTTCTTATTTATATTGACTGTTACTAATGTCCATAGCTCAATTACAGACTCTAGTCTAGTTTAGCTACGCTTGTCAGTTGAAAATGTCAGTTCATTTTTATTAAGAGGGGATGTGCTGACTCAAAAAGGTAAAGGGTAAGCATAGGAAACAAAAATTCCCACCACTGCAAAAGTTTTTAAATATTTATATATTTCAATGAGTATATCAAGTATTTCTCTTTTTAGAAATTCTAGTTTTTTGTCTTAAGTGCTAATTGCTCTCTTTCTCCAAAAGTATTTCTAAATTTTATTATATAAAATATATGTTGAGAGATATCTAATAAAATAACTAACCTGGATGAGAAAGCATCACAAATATTTCCAAATCGGTCTGGTAAAAATTAATCTTTTTTTCTATATACCAAGTATTAGATTTCGGTCAGTATGTTCACAGAGTATATTTATTCAGTCCATATTATCTTCCAATTTACAGTTAATTTATCATTACCTTTATATATGCACTGGGATATATTTTATGTACAGCATCGCCTGGTGCTCGGCCAGCCTCACGGTCCAGATAATAGCTCTGTACAAACACACTGTGATCACTGACACATCTGATCCATACATCTCCCTCACCACGATAATCCAACTGTACTCCTTTACCTATGTGTAATCTAAAATGCAAAATTCTATTCTGTTTAACTTGAATTATTTTGTTATCTTCCCAGGGGTTCAAAATAATATTTGTCCGTGGTCTGGAACTTGTCTTTTCTGGGAGGGAAAAGCCCTTATTTGTTTTGCCCATTATTCTCTATTCCTTATATTTCAGCACCCCATTATTCTCTATCCTATATTTTTTTCCGCTCATTTTTCTGGATTCTTTTTTTTTGCCCTTTATTCTGCACGTTTTGCCCATTATTCTTCATTCTGTAAACCCCACCCAGAACCTCATAGCTAATTAATTAGAAATTAATCTTGAGATCACACATGCATAATTTTTGCTGGAGTCTTTAGTTTATTGTCTAAATACATCTGCATAAAGTTATGTGTATACTTTAGGAGGCCTTTGTGATTCCTAAGTAACCAAGGACATAATACAATCAACATGAAAATCTTGTGTTTTAAAGTCAGATTTATGTACACTTTCTTACCGAGCCCGCTCGCTTGCTTCAGTCCTATGAACATTGGAGAGCTGTCCTAAACAGAATCTGTCTAAACTGGATGGATCAGTATATCCATCAACCTTTACTGTGGAATAACTGTATGGAACCTTAAATGTTTCCCCAACCTGCTGATCAAGTTCAAAATAAGTAATGGTGCACCAGAATTCAGGAGCTGAAATAAACGTAAAATTAATGTTGAAGGTTTGTAAACTCGGTTCATAATATGAAGCAGGTATTACCTGTGAAAAAGACATCATATGCTCTGTTTCTTATAAAAAAAAAATGATCTGCATAATTGGACAATTGTGAAAGTACTGACCGAGAACAATTTAGTGAGATTTGAATTGCAAATCTTTTCATTTTTCCACTGTAATGATGACTGCAAAAAGGATGAGCTAACATTGATGTAAACAAGGACACAAACTTATCAGACGGCAACAATATTCAAACTTGATCTGTAACTTGTCATGATAAAACATTACACCAATATATCAAATCAATATCTTCAAGCATAAAGAAAAAAAGTGTGGAAAACGGATTTGCCAGTCTGACAGATGGTCAGAGAGACGGACAGAGTGCAAACCTAAAGTCTCCTTTGACTTTGTCAGTAGGGGACTAATTAATAAGTTGATACACACATGTGCTCTTCATTTGTATCCAATAACTAGTTGAAAGTTGACAAAAATTCTTTTTGTGTGACACCACACTAACACTCATTAGAATATCATTGATTCTAAACTACCTGTTATCATTTTGTATTACCTCATCCTACAAATATCTTGTTCAAATTTCGGTGAAAAATTTGGCCAAATATGGCCCAATTTTACAGACTTCTTGACAACAGATTATGTTGGCCTACTATAATTGCTGTTTTAAATGACATAAGTAGTCGCCCTATATAACTATCATGGCTATTCCATTCAAGGTGCAAGCAATTTGAGGACAGTATCTGCGACTCTTTTCACAAAACATCTTACAAGTAAAAACACATGTAAGTCATGAACATTTTAGTATAACTAACGATCAATTTTAGTCATTACATTTTTTGTAAAAAGAGCCCTAGGTATCGCTATTTGCAGGAATACTTTATATGTTGTCCATCACGCTTAATCTGTGCATAGTAAATCACAGACCTATTTGTTAAGACAAAAAATTGGCAGCAGATACCATAGGACAATAAAAAAAGTTGAAGAGAAAGAGACAACACCACAGCAAAAAATGAAAAATGATAAAAAGACAAATAACAATCCATCAAATACTACATAGAAACTAAGACTGAGCAACACAAACCCCATCAATAACAGTGGTGCTCTCATGTGCTCTGGAAGGGTAAATAAATCCTGTTCCACATGATGCACTTGTAATGTAACACATATTAGTTGTTAATTTACTTACGAGGTTGGTTAGTTAATGGTGTAAGCATTTCTTGACTTTGTAAATGATTGTTGTTCCCTGAAACATGTGAAATAAAAAAAAGACAAATTTCAACATTTTTCAATGCTTGGAGACATTTTATCATGGTTCAAATGAAAGAATGTAACAAAAAATATTACATCAATTCTTCAATTTCTTGTTATCATTATCCATTCAAGGATTCAGCAAATGTTGCAATTAAGAAATAATTCATGCAAGCTATAGATTTGTTGGAAATTTTCACATGGCCTGGGCCGTTATATTCGAATTTTATCTCAGGCCTTAGCAAAGGATAAAATTAAAGAATATAACGGCCCAGGCCATGTGCATGTGAAAATGATAACAAATCTATGGCTTGCAAGAATTATTTCGATTCTAATTGGTCAAATTCGGTAATTTGAAAAACTGAAGCGAGGTAAGATTGCCATGTGTATGGCTGTTCTATTTTACCCTCTGTAAGATAAAAGCTACAAATTTCAAATAAATCTTAGGCTTGCATGAATTCATTCTTTAATAACCACTAAAAAAAATGTGTTCAATCCTCATAATTCTTAAACCAAATATTTTTTTAAGTTGGCTATTTACTGTCAAATCCAGTTGACATGTCGTAACTAAGGAGTGAGCAGCCATGTTGACTTGCTGAAATCCATGAATGTGTGAATGATGCAATAGAATAGAAAATGAAACACCTACCTCAAAACTCCATTTTAATGCGATATTATCAGAATTTAGAGCATACATGTTACAGAATAATCTTCAGCTTGAGAGTTTTCATTCGTATGACGTCATGTTTTGACGTTAATGTGCCAATATCATTCATGAAATTTTTACGGAATTTTATTTTATTTTGATTTCATACATCTTTTAAGATCTTACATGTCTTATGCATTAATTCTTTTTGTTATGCATTAGAATAGGAATAATGGTTCTGTAGTTTCTTTCTTTTTCAATTCAATTTGAACACAACGAAATCCACATAGAGTTTGCACATAGGTTACGATACATGTGGATTTACGTGGGAGGTAAATAGTAACAGCCATTAATATGTACATCTCTTGAGTCTGCGCTAAGTATAAATATTTTGAGAATTTTATCACGCTGATGTTAACAAAGCCAAAGAACCACGTCATAGTAGAATACTATTTTACACATAACACTATATATAGTTATAAACTGAATCTCATTGCAGCAAAAAAATAAAAGAAGATTCAATTTCCAGAAAGTGGTCTGCAACAGAACTTTTAATTTACAGAAAGTGTTCTGCAATAGATCATTCAATTTCCAGAAAGTGTTCTGCTACAGAACCATCTTCGCTAGCCAAGGGTTATGATCCACTTCCCTCCTCTCCACCCTTGGCAGATTGAGATAGAATTTCGGAGACACAAGGTAATGATTTTCATTGGTTGCAGTCGAAACTCGCTGCATCCAATCAAAAAGCGCCTATAACATGATCACGTGTAAATGTAGAAAGTGTATGTAAACAATTGCCACGTGCTTATTGTGCAACAAGTCTTTACATCCCTAAACATACGACTATATTTAGTGACAATTTGAATGTTTTTAATCAACTAATAGAAGTTCCTGTGTATGTTTCTTGCACAAATGCATGAATGTCAAAGTATATTTTCGTTTCCTGTTTTACCAAGGGTGTAGAATCTAGACGCTACCGTGTTTTTACCTCCAAATTGAAGAGTTCAAGTGCTACCATTGGTCAAGAATAATGTATTCGGAATGGGCGTGACTTTAATCTACCGATAGATGGCGCAACATTGTTATTACAAATGTTGGCTTAATCTGCCAAGGGTGGAGAGGAGGGAAGTGGATCGTAACCCCAGGGGTTCAAATTAACATTTGGTACTGGAAGGTCCAGGACCTTTGACTCTCCAAACTGAAAGGTCCACAACCTAAATTCCAGGTCCTACCTTTACTTAAAATATTTCATAACTCAGTTAGATACAAAATTAATGTGCTTTTAGTATGAGATTAGCTTATTTCATTGTCAGTTTCACGGTTTTTCACGATGAATGTAATTGTCTTGTATATAATTAATTCAAGTAATCTTTTTTTTTTTGGGTATTGGGGAGGGTGTCACTGTGGATGGGTGTGTTGTCTCAACGATTGATATTAAATTGCTAATTATGCCAAGATTATCTCTGGGCTCACACGTATTTCAGCTCGATTTTAAAAGTCCACTAGAGCTTATGCTCCTTTGCTTACATTCAGGTATCATATCTAGTTGTACTATTTGTGAAAATAAAGTAAGAAACTTCCAGCTATTTTAACAGGCCCTTCAAAATTTAAATTGAGAAAAATTACCCCTTGAAATTGCAGTAATATGTTTACACTTTAAAAACATCTACATGCATTATCAACATTTATCACTGATAAAGAAAATTTATACTGTCACATTGTATTGGATTTTGACATTAAAATTTGCCAAAAAGTAATTTTGAGTTTCTGTATAAAATATTTTCTGCCTTTTCTTTCTTTTCCATATATCTTTTGGTTTTCAATTCTAGTGTTTATATTTCATAACCATAGATGTATTTTGTCACCTGCCTGGATTTTTTTTTTATTTACTTTATCGCCAAAACCCGGAATTACCCTAATCCGCTTCCGGAATTGGACCCGATATTGTAATTGTCTTCATGGCATCCATTGTTTTTCAATGTTGTTTTTGTCAGGTCAGATACGATTTTACTTGGAATTTACACCTTACTTGAACTTACTTGTTGGCGATTTTCTGTATAAAGCTAGCGGTTGAACAAAATTAACATCGCTGTCATGAATAATAAAGATGATATAAGTTTTGAGATCGTTTATTTGGAGACTTTGGTAAAAAGGTTTTCAAAGTTATTTTTTTATTTTCTTTCAAGTCGAAGGTCCGTCGGGCGTAGCTAGTAACCAAGTCAAAAGTCCGATTGCAAAAGTGGAAGGTCGCGGACCTCGGACCACCGCTAATTTGAACCCCTGAACCCTTGGCTAGCGAAGATGCTACAGAACATTCAATTTCCAGAAAGTGTTCTACAACAGAACATTCAATTTCCAGAAAGTGTTCCACTACAGAACATTCAATCTGTAAAATAAATTGGTTGAACATAAAGAATATCAAGAAGGTAATACATGAAATACATGCCTTTAAATTCATGAGTTTAAAGTATATAGGAATAAATGGAGAATGTGTCCATTGGACACAGATTATGCCCCCTTTGCATATAACATTATAAAGGAACTAAACTCAAGAATTTAGGTACAGGTAGCAGTGTTACAGACTTACAGTACTGAGGTTCTAGGTTTTGTGTATAGGTGGCAGTGTTGTTCCCTGTCCATGTAGCACCTTCAGGAGCAGCTGCAAAAATAATATATCAATAATATTACCATGATTACAGAAACAATAAAAATGTAGGCATCTTGGTTGTTCTAATAATGCAGGCAGTTAAGGCTCTACTAGCGGCAACAAAAAATTTCATACATGGCCATTGTATTATAAAAGAATATACAAGCATATGGTTAACAGATTTTATCAGGCAGTTGCTGAGCAATGAATCAGAAAATGCATCAAAATGTGTAGCATGCTCATATTACAATTGTACAAAATTGTTACAAAATTTCAGGAACCTCTGATTTCTAGTTTATGAAAAATTACAAAAACAAATTTGTGGCTTGGACGATGAATTAATTTACAGCTTTGCCTTCAAAGTAAAATGGTCACTTGTCAAAACATCTTTGGAAAGTTTTAAACCTTTTTGTGATAATTTACAACTTTCAATTTTACATGAATTTTCAATTAATCACATTCCTTTGGAGAAAAATCCATTCAGAAGATTAGATTAATTTAGGTTCAATATTTCTAAAGAACAATATGTAAACTTTGATTGATTCATTTACTGATGCTTGCTAATGTCCAGTGGCAAATACTAGGAGTAGACATGGATGGATTGCCCATTGTGGACATTTGGAACAACATCAAAAAAGATAAACTTACCAACTGAAGTAAATCATGTGTCTAGACGTACAAATAACGTGACTAGATATAAAAATCAAGCAATGTATTACTTACTTCTAGGAAAAGGACTTAGGGCTGGTTGTGCCTGAGAAACATGAGGTATTTGGTTGCCGTAACAATCCAACGGTGACTGAGGAACACCATGGGCATGACTGATGGAACTGGCAGCTGTGATTGGATAAAAATTAATCATGTGACTGAACGTACATATCATGTGATACATTTACTAAAGTCAGCTGTGTTGAGGAGTTGAAAAAGAGATTAACATATAACTTTCAAATGTCATTCCAAAAAATATGACAAAATATTACGTGCAAAACTAACAACAGCAGTTAAAATTTGTAAGAAACAAAATTTTGAAATACCATTGAAAATTCTTTTTTTCTTCACAAACAAGACAGTGATTTCCATATGATTCTTGACATTTGGACATTTGACATCGTATTAAAAGCAGAATGGTAAAATTAACAAGGGGAGCTGCAAAAGGCAGATAGGTAATTCTTCCTCCTATAAAATAATCAATTTTACTGCAAGGTGTGTTGATCCTTCATTACATAAGGAAATTTCAGTGGTATTTCTTAACGGAGTATACTTATGTCAAACGTCAACCATATAACAATGTAATTTACTACAGCTAAACTTAAAACAATTCATTGCAAAAAATTATCAGTAAATTAATTGTGAAATTCAAATACACTGAATGAAAATCTTGACTAAATAAATTAAATTGAATAACACAGTTTATAAAGAGCATTTAAACATGCACGGAATTATATATCTTCTTACTGTTATATCTTTGGAATATTAAAATAAAATTTCTCTTTTGTTCATTTTATTTTCTAACATGCATGAAACAAATAGCTTAAATTCTTATTATGTTTTCCAAATTTCTACTTATAGTTTAAAACACATGGTTTTGAAATGTTACACTACAGCTCAGATTGATTTTTCGATTCCCGACAGACCCAAATTCAGTCAATGGTTAACCATGTTAACTGGGATCCTCCTATTCAGTCAGTAATACCCTTGCTAAAGTGGGGTGGCTGTTTGGCTGAGTGGGATGTATATAAACCAAGCCACATCCATTTAAAATGGGGATGTTAAATTTTTGCATCGTGTAGAAAAAGTGTCACACTTTCTCTTTCTTAAAGAACCCATGTTTAAATTTTTACCCAACATAACCTCATTTTCCAGTGGCAGTGCAAATTTCCCACCCTTGAATAGATTGCTGCCTTACTTTGCAGATCCCAACTTGTATTAATGATGTATTAATTCTAAATTTGTTCTCAAGGGCAGATCCAGTCATTTTTAAAAGGGGGTTCCAACCATAATTATGTCCCCATTTAAAAACATTAATTGTGTAAAAAAAGGGGGGTTCCAACTCCCTCCCTCCCCCCCTCCTTGGACCACCAATGGTTCTTGTCCTCAACTTGCACAAAATATTTGCCACTGGACATTTAGCAAACAACAATCAATAACTAATTTCAACAGTATATAATGGGAGTGAAAGGGGTAGTGAAACTTCTAGATCATACCAAATTTTGTTGACATGCCATGCTATTTCTTTTGACCTTCATAAAAAAACTAAAATATTATACTTAGAAAAATGACAACCTATAGAAGTCAATTTTTACACCAATCTAAGGTCTAACCACGGGCAGGTGGAATCGAAAAAATCCACATCAGCTGTAGTGTTATCAACATACTGTGGATTCATATATTTACGTGGATACTAATTTTCGCGGATGTTTGATACAGTGGTTTTCCCAAAGTCTTGCATACAAGCATAGAGAAAATTTGTACTTCATTTAAATTTAAATTTAAATTTGCAATTTACCTATACCCTCCTTATTCACGAAAATTGGTAGACAACAGTAATAATGAATCCACATTGTTATCCTGTTTTCTACCTGTCACTCTACTCTAAAAGCTGCCGAAAATTTTACCTATAATAAATAAGCAAGTAGCAACCTAGAAGAGGAGTAAAGTTTGGTAGAAAATCATCAAATTAAAATTCTGCACTGTTTGTCACAAGTCTGATGCCCTAGATCAATGTAGATTAGTAAAATTTGATTTTGAACAGTAAGGTTTTGCAAAACATTGTTTAGAAACAAAAGAAAAATGTCCGAATATTAGTCTTCAAGCCTTGAAGTTGGAAAAGGTTATGGTGGAAAGTACAGCATAAATTATATTTGAATATGCATTCATATCTGAAAGACACTGCAATCCTTTTCTGTCTGGAAAATGACTGCAATTTTTTAATTAGTCTAATGTTCAAAAAACATTTATAATCAGTTCAAAGAATTTTAAATCATTTTAATTTCAAATATTTTTCCCTTTTGTCTCTCATTTTAAAAGAATTAAGAAAAGGTTCACTCATGCAAAATTATGTAAAAATCAAACTGATTGAGTATAAAAAATTTTACTTCGCAATTGGTATTGTGAATGCATCAAACTCACTGAAATTTCAAAATATGTACATAAAAAAATATTCTTAGCATGTACTTTTACATGTTTTACTTTCACAATCTGAAACTTGTACAACGTACTTCAAAATCTATCTTAAATGGCTTTCATGCCTCCTGCTACTTAGCTTGTAATTGCATTTGAAATACCAGGGCTAACCCTACCAGGCGACCATACATTACAAAATCTAATCAAAGAAAACCATGCTAAAAATAAGGCCAGATGGGCATTTTGTCTACCTGTACATAAGACTTATTAGTGGTGCTCTAATTAAACCAAATGGAAGGTTAAATGAATTACGAAGTCGAAGAGCAATAAAAACAGACAATCCTGAAAAGTAGTGCCAAATAAATTATGCATTTTTAGTTTGATTTCAAGATTTAGAAAATGGAAAATTCTAAGTTTCTTAATAATAACACAAGGTGAACTGTTGACACAGAGATATGTCTCGCCTATCAGCATAAAATTCAGAAAAAGAAAATCTGATGGACAGCAAAATTGCTTATTAATTCAGTCACTGGACCATGATCTAGTGGGCAGGGACTGAAAATGGTCGACAAACTGAAATGTACAGACAGTAATGTAACTTTATAGAAAATATCGTTGTGTATTGTAAGTAGTTCCTTTCAATATAACTAAAGCAGAAAAACTTAACATTGAAAATTGCTAATTAATTCAAAGTCACTGGACCATGTCCTAGTGGGCAGGGCCTCAAAATAGTCGTCAAACTGATATGTACTGATAGTATTTCGACTTCATACAAAATATCATTGATCTATCACAAGTAGATCTTATCAAACATAAGCAGAAAACTTAACATTGAAAATCGTTAATTAAGTCAGTCACTGGACCATGTCCTAGGGGGCAGGGCCTCAAAATAGTCTTCAAACTGGTATGTACTGACAGTAATGCAACTTCCTACAATCTATCATTGAAATATCACAAGTAGATCCTATCAAACTAATTTAAGCAGAAAACTTAACATTGAAAATTGCTAATTAATTCAAAGTCACTGGACCATATCCTAGCCTCAAAATAGTTTTCAAACGGATATGTACTGATTGTAATGCAACTTTATATTAAATATTAATGATCTATCACAAGTAGTTCCTATTAAACTAACTGAAGCAGAAAACTTAACAATTGTTGACGCCAGAGCCAGAGCAGCAATCCCTAAGTCTCGCTACGGACAAATAGATGGACAAGGGTAAAACTTAATGCCCCCTCTGTGGCGGCAGGGGCATAAAAATTAAAGCAGACCGTCATTGGGAATTCTACTCATATTGATGTAAAAAGATTCATCAATGGTTGACCTCTTGTAACTCATTTAAATCTGTGTGTAGAAACTTTTTAATATCTTAACAACCTTAACAATTATTTATTCGGGTCAAATTAAATATTTACATCTGTAAATTAATTATTCCAGGAAAAAGGGTTAATTATTTACTGGTAGCTCATAACAACGTTGTTCAAAAGTTTAAACATGCAAATTTTCAGAAAGGTAACAATTTATAAAGCATTTCGTATCAAGGATCGAAATAAAATTCAACACAAAGCCATGCATATACCATCTGTACATGTATATAGAACACATCCCAATCACTATTTGTCACCTGTTTTGGATATTGTATTGTACCCATAAAATTTAATATCAAAAGAAAATAAAATTCTGACATCACAGGCAATAGGTACAGTAATTGTTGTATGGTAAAGTGTTGCAGAAACCCCTCACTATCTGCTATAGATTATAGACCAAATGTACCCTAGACACACAAAAACTGACACTTCTTTATCTAGTCCCTGAAAAGTAAATTTTAGTCAGACCTTCTAAAGTAAGAATCAGTACTGAGGAAACAAACAAGTAAATGCAGAATGTGTCCATGGGACATAGATGAAAGTCTTCACATTTAATCACAGGCCCAGCAGCCAAGGTTTGTAAAATTGCTTTCAGGCCTGTAAAATTCACCTCTACAGTCCAACAGAAGCTAACTAAAAATTTCAAAAAATTGAGCTGAGCGCCAGTAGATTTAAAAGTTTATCGTGAAGACTAAGATAATCCCACACTTGCATATAACATTATAAAGGGACATAAATCAAGAACGGTAAAATTGATGCTACCCAAATTGGAACTTGACCTGAGTTTTGTGGTTATAAGCATTGTGTATAAGTTTCATAACATTTGGTTGAGGCAAACTTAAGTTAGAGAACGGAAACGAAAAATTTAGCAATTTTTCCATTTTTAAAGGGGCTTAACTCTAGAACTGTACAAGTGATGCCACCCAAATTCAAGCTTGATCTGAGTTTTGTGGTGATAAGCATTGTGTATAAGTTTTATAACATTTGGTTGAGGCAAACTAAAGTTAGAGAACGGAAACCAATTTTGGGACAAACATAAGGATGGACATACAGATGGACAAGGGTCCCTCTGAATCGGTGAGGGTATAAAAATACTGTTGACACAGATTAATGTCTTGACTTTATGTAATTTTTATTATTATAGTGATATACATGTACTCATTATTTGTTAAGATGTATGGTAGATGACTTGAATTGCATTACAAAAGATCAGATTATAGAATAAATTAGGATGTGTAATACTGTATCATGTAAGACTGCTTCTATTCTGTAGTTTTTCAAAATGGCCCAACAAATATGAAAACGGACACCTGAAAAGCCCAAATCTTCAAATGCAATAAATAAATAAAAATAGTTGGATTTTGTTATCGAAAAAAAAAAAGGAAAATATATCCCCATGGACACAGATGATGCCCCCGCTTGCATTCAACATTTCAAAGGGACATAACTCAAAAACAATAAAAGTGACGCTACCCAAATTTGTATTAGATCTGAGTTTTGTGGTAATAAGTATTGTGTATAGGTTTCATAATGTTTGGTTGGGGCAAACTTAAGTAACAGAACGGAAACTAAAAATTTTGCAATTTTTCGATTTTATAAAGGGGCATAACTCGAGAATGGTTAAAGTGACGCCACCAAAATTCAATTTGATCTGTATTTTGTCATAATAAGCATTGTGCATAAGTTTCATAACATTTGGTAGAGGCAAATTTAAGTTAGAGAACGGAAACTAAAAGTTTTGTAATTTTTTCATTTATAAAGGGGCATAACTCTAGAACAGTCATAGTGACGCTACCAAAATCCAAACTTGATCTGTATTATGTGGTAATAAGCATTGTGTATAAGTTTCATAACATTTGGTAGAGGCAAACTTAAGTTAGAGAACGAAAACAGACGGACAAGGGTAAAACTTAATGCCCCCTCCGCTATGGCGGGGGCAATAAAAATCTGACACAAAATCATAAGCATCAATAAAAAGCTAAACAGAATTTGAACATACATGTATCTAAACTATTATAGAAATTCCCATACAAAAGGATATACAAATGTAGGCATACATACAATGTAGGTAAATATGCAAGCAAGCAAGACTATATGTATTATGAAGCAGACGTGCAGTTACATCACCATAGCAACTATATTCTATGCAAAATAAGCCATTAAATACAGTCTGTCAATATCAAGCTTTCACTTCTATTTTTATTCCTAGTCTGTTAAATAAAGTATTTTGCAAAAAAAAAGTTAAGTCCTTATCTCTGGAAATCTTATTTAATTTTCAGAATCTCTGAAAATAATATTGAAAAGTAAGAAATTTATGATCTGTATTTAATCACAATACATCTGCTGTTTACAGCTGCTTAAAATCTGTTTGATTTTGTTTAAATTGCTTTTATAAATATTCACAGAATTCAAGTACAAAATGTACTTATATGAGTAAGCTTCCTGAATTTACTCCTTCTGTTTTATTTTTCTGTCAGTTTATTCAATTTTCATTAATAAACATATGCATCAATTTTCAAATTAAAAGTATGATTTTACATGTTTTATATCATGCATATCTTTTTTATATTTTTTTCTTTTTATTTTATCTGTTAACTTTTTGTTATTTTACTTGAAAAATAAAATTGAACTTGACATACAAGTTTATGATTTGTAATTCCAAACTGATTTAAATCAGTGTACAGAAAAAGCTTGAATTTGACAGTCTGTAACACACACAGCCAAACATTAACCTGACTGGGGAGGAGGTGATGACAAGGGCTGTGGGGACATGGCATGGATAGGGTTCGGTCCAGCCTGCCCCGCCCCTGCCAACTGCTGTGTCTGGTGTAGCTGCTGGTGTTGAACTGTGCTCTGAGGGGTCGGTGACCCTTGACCTAGATAAACAACCAATTAAATAAATCACATCTCCTAAAAATAACCAATCATAATTGAATTTAACTGACGTCTACCAACATTTATTCATTCAGCTTTTAAAAATTAAATACACTCAAATATGCAGCACCATCAAAAACATAAATTAATCATGTTTAAACTTTATAGACTTGTTGCATTATAGGAAAACAATTAAATTTACATTAAAGGGATACCCAACACTTCGCGATTTAAATAGATTTGGCTCAGTGAATTTTCTTGAAATTTTGACACTTTATATAGTATATTCATTTTTACCTGTTGACGAAAATATTAACCACACAATCATGAAAATTTACAGGAATAATATAATTGGATATATAGCAGTTATACAAACAATAATTTTGATCATTGAGAAGCTTGATTTCTCTATACTAATAGTTTGTGATTAAAACGTTCAGCTAATTTTTAAATAGTTAACTCCCTTAGGGGTTCTGTTTTCCCTTAAATGATGGATTTAAACTGCATATGGACTATTCCTCAAAAAAAGTGTATGTGGATTTAGGGGGGGGGGGGGGGGTAGACATTTTTTTTAGAATCCACCACCAATCCATATTCTTTATCTTTATTTGTGACAGTATTATCTATGCTTCCATCCCTATAACCTACAGAAAAAAAATATCGTGTGGTGTCCAATCCTCCCATATACTTTTTCATAGAATTGTCCTAAGATTAATTGAAATATTTGTCATCTTTTAATTAATCAAGGTAAAATGTTTCAAATCAAGTTAAGCATCTGAAGGTCAAGGCTATTTAAAAAAAATCTATTTTGATCTTGTGTGTTTGAGGTAATTTCTTAGGCCTGTGAAATGCAAATGACATTTCTGTTAATATAAATGTTGTGAATCTGAGATACACATGGATTTTTGCAGGCTTTACATAGACAAGAAATTACCTATAAAAATATATCTTTCATAAGGCTTTTATTTTTTCTTAAATTGTAAGTATTTATTTTACAGGCATTTAAAATTTCAAAAGCACATTTTAAAGTCTATGATGATACTGCAAAATTTTCTAAATTTCAAAATAACAAAACTTAACATTACAAATCTTATTTACACAAAAGAAATTAAAAGCTGACAAATCATGCATGACTTTTAAAACACAGCATTTCATTGGTCAATACAAAAACCATTGATTTTAAATTAAATTTGATTGGCTAAACAACACATCTGCTCTTCATTCAAAAGTCAAACAATATAATACAATACAGCAATGGCTCTTTTACCCTTCGGAGCGCTGAAACATCTTATAGTGAACATTTTCTGTGCAATTGTCCAACTACTTTGTGAAATTTAGCAAGGGTCGATATTTTTCAAAGCAGGTGAGCTAAAAATGCAGATTATAAATTCAAAATATAAATATCATTTTTAAGTATTTTAAGACCTCTCCCACTTCCTTAATTATTATTATTCTTATTCTCAATTACAAAAACACACATTTTTCTGCATGTGGGTTTGAGGACTTTTAAATGTCACATATGATATATATGTGGAAGAAAATTGTGGTTTCTAGATCTGACTTTTAAATTTTTTTACCACATAATTAATATTTAAAAAAGACATCACATGACAGCATCAACCAATGACAACCTACCATGTTGACTACTTGCCCCTTCCATTCCAATATCACTTCCATATTCATCTTTCACCAGTCTGGTGGGTGGAGCTTAAAAGAATTTTCAAAAAAATAAATCAGCTGAATTTCTTGCATTGAGTAGAAATTCAAAATCATCGTCTATGGTAACGTTATTGAAGAAAAAAAGTTCTTCAATGAATTTTAAGAAAGTGGGATTGTCAAACAAAAACTAAAATAATATATATTTAAACACATCATTGTTTACTTCTTGCGATTAAGTTTCCTGTGGATATTTAAATTCAAATGGAGATCATTATATGAATTCTCAGGCTAACAAGAATATGTATCCACTTACTATCATTTTCCTTGTTCAGTGAACCATAAAATTTGGGGGAAAAAACTGTAATTTGGCATACTGTGGATTCATTATTATTTGTTGGATACCAATTTTCGTGGATTTCATGGCTACAGGTGAACCACGAATTTAAATATTCAAATAAGTTCAAATTTTCTATAGGTTTGTATGCAGACTTTTGTAAAACCACAAAATTAAATATCCATAAAAATACAATTTGTCCTTAATCCACGAAAATAAATGAATTCACAGTACATGTATGTTCAAAAGTTCAAATCATAGAGCACTAAGTTTCATGTTGATCTGACCAAAACTTCATGGTAAACTACTTTAACCTAAGAATGCACTGGATTCACACTATCAATTAACTGTGAAATTGTGGTCCTAACCGTAATTTGGCATAAACTTTTTAAGTTCATATCAGTAATTGCCTGGACTGCATATAAATGAACATGTGTATTATGTTTCAAGTTAATGTAACCACAACTTTAGTATGAACTACCTGATAATGGATGCACGAACAGAAACACAGACAAAAAAAATATAATGCCTGTCTACTATCATAGACGGGACATAAGAGTACAAATACAAGCTGTTAAGCTTACACAAACCCACCAAACGGTTACTGTATACTTAAGATATCATGTTAAGTTTCACTGTACACATTCATTGATGTATTTACCTGCATGCTGTATGGTTAATCCTGACAAATCTAAAAATAGAAAAAAATACAATAGTATAAGTTAAACATGTTAAAGAAGTAAAAAAAACAAAAAAACAGATAAAATACTGTAAATTCAGAAATTTTTGCAAAATATTGTTACGTGATAGGTTTCACAAAAATATAACATATCCAGAAAGATCATAAATGTTCTTTAACATAAAGGGAGAATGTGTCTATGGGCCACAGATGCCCCCGCTTATAAATATACATATCCAACTTCCACATACAGATGTAGGATTCACATGGTTAAGACCGTTTTGTGATTATAAGCATTGTGTATAAGTTTCATAACATTTGGTTGAGGCAAACTAAAGTTAGAGAACGGAAACGAAAAATTCAGCATTTCTTTTGTTTATAAAGGGGCATAACTCATGAACAGTAAATGTGACGCCACCCAATTTCGAACTTGATCTGTGTTTTGTGGTAATAAGCATTGTGTATAAGTTTTATAACATTTTGTTGAGGCAAACTCAAGTTAGAGAACGGAAAACAATTTTGGGGACGTAGTGACGGATGGGCGGATTTTCGCCTTTCAACCTGTCCAACAATGTCCAAGAGGGGTGGGCACCTGCTAACATGTTTAACCCTGCCACATTCTTTATGTGTTTGTCCCAAGTCAGGAGCCTGTAATTCAGTGGTTGTCGTTTGTTGCTGTATACATGGATTTTTCTAGCATTCCACAGGGTCCGGTATTCGGACCCATTCCCAATGGCAAAAACCCTACATTTTTCCCAATTTTGGGAACAAAATTCCCAAACGATCTCAAAATTTATTTTCATTTTTATTATTCATGACAGCGATGTCCATTCTTTTCAACTGCTAGCTTTATTCCGAAAATGGCCAACAAGTAATGTGTAAATCAGAGTAAAACATTTCTACATGTAACTGACGAAAAACAACATCGACAAACAATGGCTGACATAAACTGGAAATGTAGACAATTACAATACCGGATCAGATTCCGGGAGCGCACACGGCTAATTCCGGGTTGCCGATCAAAAACAATAAATAAATTTTAAAAAATCTAGGCAGATGACAAAGGACGGCTATGAAATATAAACACTAGAATTAAAAACCAATAGGTCTATGAAAAAGAAAGAAGAAACAGAAAATGTTTAATACCGAAACTCAAAATTTTTTTTTGTTCACAAATTTTCATGTCAAAATCCAATAATAAAATGTAACATTACTTTTCTTATTCACTAAAACATGTTGATATAAGTTGTTTTTATAATGCTAACAAATAACTACAGATCAATGAATTAATTTTTTCTTCTCAATTTTGAAGGGCCAGTCAAAATCTGGAAGAGCAAGTGAATTAAAAGAAGTGTTAGCCTGCTTGGCCAGTTAAAATACATCTTATTTCTATCCCTGAATTATTTATATTATATTAACCATATTAACTGTTGCTGTCTTTGAAGATAAAAAAAGGGGGAAAAGTTTTGTCACATGTGTGCTTTAAAAACTACAATATTTTAATGCTAGATAAACTTGAGTTCCTTATTGTTAAGTTGAGAAAAGAAAGAAAGAACAGAAAATAAAATTATAAACAACAAAAAAAGATAATTCTTAATGAACTTAACACACTAAAACTCGCATCTGGTATATTAGTAGTTTTCCCAATTTCATTGTAAATCACGTAAACAAATTCCCAAAACTGGCCAGGGTCCTTTTTCCCAAAATGCCCAGATAAACCCCTGGTATATCGTTCATTATTTTGTATATAAATCAGCCCGTTAGTTTTCTCGTTTGAATAGCTTTATATTTGTCATTTCAGGGCCTTTTACAGCTGACTATGTAGTATGGGCTTTGATCATTGTTGAAGGCTGTATAGTTTCTGTGTCATTTGGTCTCTTGTGGAGAGTTGTCTCATTGGCAATCATACCACATCTTCTTATTTTTATATACACAGTGGGAATTGATTTAACAATACTGTTGTATCATTTATTTTCGTTGGTACTAATTTTAAAGGATTGAGAAAAAAATATGTTTTCAAGTTTTTTGACAAAGTCTGCCATCAAGCCTATAGAAAATATGTACTTTGTTGCACATTTAACTTTGTGGTTCACATTTACCTGCTAAATCCACGGAAATTGGTATCCAAAGAATAACGATAAATCTACAGTACCTTTGAAATGAACAAAAATCTATGGTATTGATTGTTTTTACAAACTTTTATGAATTCGAGTGTGCTTACCACGGTGGACAAGTGGAAAAGGCAAAAGCTATCTGAACTGTAGTGTATTTTTCAATGAATCAACTTGTGTGTATACGTACTGTACCAATGCTTTAATATATGTAGTGAACAATCATTCATCATATAAAACCAATTGTTGGTCTCTAGTCAACATTTGTTTGTTTTGTTCTCCAAATTATGCCGGATTAATTTAGAGATTGTACAACACAATTACAAAGCCCCAATTCAAAAATGTGTTGTGCTACAAGAAATCCAATAATTAAATCTCATTGACCATGTTGACACCCTTCAAAAGCACAGCTGATTTTTAGTGGGGTTGTGCTGCTCAGCCTTTAGTTTTCTGTGTAGTGTTTTGTGGACGGTAAAATTAATATTCTTACGGCCATGGTGTTGTCTTTTTTCTTCAATGTATTTCTAGAACTGTGCTTTGAAAGGCAGCACATGCTAATTTTACTGTCAAAATCTCACAAAAAGTAGGTAATTTCGCCCTCATAATTACCTATTCCAGGGGAAACAACTCTCTCATAATGATAAGGATTAACACAGACGCTATCCTGCTTCAGGTCGAAAGCATACTGACAGTATTTGACATGCTTCAGTTCATTTTTATGCAAATCAGGCCATCGCCAAATACGAGCATAAATCACATGAGGAAAACCTTTTCTTCCTGCCACCTGTAAAAATACCAATAACAGTAATCATCAGTGGCAGATATAGGGGTCGTAGAGGCATACGACCGTCCCCCTTTTTGATCGCCCAACAAAATGGTTCTCACGCTTTATAAGATTATTTAGCTTAAAACCCTCAATGTATATATTCAATTTTCTGGAATTATGTGTGTACCCCTTTTTCAAAAATCTTGAATCCACCCCTGAAAAATAATCTTTTTCACACCAACTGTGGTCTTGTTATCCATAGTCTCTTGTGCATGAATTGTGTGACTGAGGGTTCAAGTCTTAACTACAAAAAGACTTTAAAAATTAGTATATGCTGATTTACTTATAGGCAGAATTTAAGCCTTTTTTACATTTTTCATTATAAAAGGAGATGTGGTCATATGTTTACAAGGCATCAACCCAAAGACAAAAAGATATAAGCCTTTTTGGCATCACTTTCACCTTTATGAAATATTTGGTGTATTATATTTTTTTGTTTTTTTAAGAGGTTATATGTTTTTTGTATTCACATCTTTTTTCCTTTGACTATGTTTGATTCACAATTTGTATCTTTCTTTGACTTCTGTACTGTCAATTCAGAAATTTTTGCGATATTTTTATTAATGCAAAGAGATAGGTGGGGTAAAAAATAAACCTCGCATTTAAATCTTAATAGCATTATTTGTATTTGAAATTTCCTAAAATTGCAATAATCAAACACACATTTGTCTCAATTTTTCAAGTCACATTAATACATTTTGTAATAAATGCCTGCAATAATTTTTTACCGTACTTACATGTAACTATCCCCTTGTCCTTGGTTGGGTTATCAATAAGAAATTTTTATGTGATGTATCATGTGTCTTTTCTTTTTGCATACCTGAAGTCGCCCATCTAATGTACGTTGGATCGTCACACATTTCGAAGGATGTGCGCCATTGGTTGTTATAGCCGTGATCAAACTGTCAAGTTCATCCCTTTTCTCTTTCAGTTTTTTCACCAAGCTTTCGATGGCCCGTTTGGCAAAGCTTTCACTTTCTCCTCCTTGCCTATGGCACATTAGGCTGTGAACAATACTTAAACAGGCATCGGCTGATGTTGGAGCCTGGGACCCCATGGTGGTAATGGGGTTTAACTATGTTCCTTAGTCTGAAAGTTACAGAAGAAAGTCAGAAGTTGTCATTTGTCTTATATTAAGGCCTGACAAAATAATGCATGCATTTCATGCTGCAAAAAATTAGGATAGGTACACAATGTAGGAAGGCAAATCATTTTTTTTTTATTTCTGACCTATTTTTAAACAGGGGAACATTTAGACTTCAATAATGCTTATAAATAAGGTTTGGCGCCAACTAGTTTAACCCTGCCTCATACTGTATGAACCTATCCGGGTATCCCAAAGTCAGGAGCCTGTAATTCAGTGGTTGTCATTTGTCACCGTATATCATATTTTTTTGTTCATTATTTTGTACATAAATCAGGCCGTTAGTTTTCTTGTTTGAATTGTTTTACATTTGTCATTTCTGGTCCTTTTATAGCTGACTATGCGGTATGGGTTTTACCCATTGTTGAAGGCCATACGGTGACCTACAGTTGTTAATTTCTGTGTCTTTTGGTCTCTTGTGGTGAGTTGTCTCATTGGCAATCATACCACATCTTCTTATTTTCATATTTATAAATGATAAATAAATAAGCTTTATTTAAAGTCAGATTATATAGTATTCAAACAAGGACATAACATAAGCTCTATTGAGCTTTTAACTGACATAAATGCTTGTTTAATTATGACCAAAAAAATCTAAAAGAAAGTGCAAAAAAAACTAACTTCAAGTTTATATTGCCCCTAAGCAAAATACACAAGTTCTAATGGAACCTATCAGAAAAATACCTTATATACAAGTTGATTCCTGTTTTTAAGTGTGTTTGTGTTCATAAATAATAAACTGGTCCCTTTGTCAGATACTATTTGTTTATCTGGATCTTCACAGGGGATATAGGCTCTTATTCCTTGTCAGTGTTTTAAATCTCCTGAGTCGTCAGGTGAAGGGGTTATAGGGAATATGAGCCCACGAGAAAACATATTCATGAGGACCTCTATAGTTACGGTTCCACAGCTAGTTCTTTAAATGAACAAGTTACACTGGAATAGCATAAGCATTGTGACATGGTGATATCTCATGAATGCAAAGTTGTTTACTATATAGGGTTTTTGTCTTATTGATTGGTTTTGCATGTACCAGAAAAATACAGACCTGTAAGTGTAAATAATGTTTATAAAATATTCTGATAATTCATATTTCTTTTCAATTATCCACTTGTTCCTCAAGTATTTTTTTTTAAAGTTTTTGTTCCATTGTATTCATCAATATTTATTTTAATTAATTTATTTTTCATACAATCCATTATTTATACTTTCAGTTTAAACTTTAATCCTCGGAGGCACAGAATAATTTCCAAATAACCTGTGCATCATATTTAGGCTATGTACATGCTTTATTTACACATGATCAAGTATGAACAAAGAACATAGGACTTAATACCAAAATAAAAAAACTAAAAAAATATGGCCTCGTATTATAATGTCCCCACTCCCAGCATACTATGTCATCGCCAGACAGACTGGTGCCAGCCTCTGGAAGCCATTAGCCGGCTCCATTTTACTTAATCAATGAAACTTCAGGTGTGGAAATTATCTCCTCATTAACATCACGTTATTATTGATTACTTACCCGATCAACGATCAATTGTTAAGTCATCATTTTTAATTCATGCTTAATTTATTTATTTTTTCATGGCGCGAGTAAAATCAAAATAAACCAATGCGTCTGCGCTGATGTCGTTAACTTTACTTCCGTTTTAAATTGTTGCTATTCGAAGGGGCACTCTGCGGGGGAACATTGTCATTTTTATCATTAATATTTAAAATCGCTTCCTCCAATACTTCAAACCAAACCATTTACAAATATATTTATACGTCATTAATAATACACAATACAAATTAACAGTGCAAAATAAAGGCAAAAAGTATAAAGAATAAAGCATAATAGGCCAAAACGTATTAAAAGAATATAGAATATATTGAGTGTTAAAATATGAATTATAAAGAAGAAAAGACAAAACTTTAAAGAATTGAGAGAGAAAATGGCTTAAAATATTAAAGAATACAGAATTGAGGGAATATCGCCCCCACCATGACCACCAATCCAGACCCTTCCGCTGTAACTGAAAGTAAAGTTCTCAAGTTGTTCTAAAAAAAAACCTAACTACAAAGAAATTTCAAAACGGAAGAAAGTCCCATATCAAGTGGCAAAATCAAAAGCTCAAACACGCCAAACGAAAGGAAAACAAATGTCATATTTCTGACATGGTACAGGCATAAACCTGGTTATATATAACTAGCTAAACATCTCACTTGTATGACAGTCGCATACTGAAGTCCATTGTATTGACAGCAATGTGTGAGCTCAACAAACAGTTTAGTGGTTGTCGTTGGTTGCTAACTGTCTATCATATTTGTCTTTCGTTTGAACTTCGTTTCACATTTCGTCATGTCAGGGCCCTAAAATGTTTGTTGGAGGTTGACAGAAACGTTTTTCATAAAACCTTATTTCAAAGTTTTCTGAATGTTCCAAAATAACGTTCCTTCAAAATGTTTTTGAAACATTTATTAGAGTCTACAGATTTTGATTTTTAAAGCGTTTAAAAAAAACATTTTAGAAACAAAAAACAAAACATTTTTAAAACGTTTTTAAAATGTTGAATTGTTTGCTGGGCTATTGTAGCTGACACTATGCGGTATGGCTTTTACTCATTGTTGAAGGCCGTACGGCATAGCTGTGACATAAAAGTTCCTTCAATCAACGTCATTTGGATAGATTGAGCTGTCTCATTGACAATCATATCACATGTCCTTAATATATATTATCATTTAATATTCTCTCAATCAGAAGCTTAATGATTGGTGCGCGATTTAACAGTTCAGTTCAGTTCAGTTTCTTTTATATTCCTCCATTAATTGTGGAGCACTACCCATAGTCCTTCGAGTTTTTAAGTTTTCAATTTGATGCACTATATTAAATTACTATAGTTCACAATATTCTTTCCGCATACGTATACCAAAATATGTATACCAAAATATACTGAAAGCATCTAGTGAAGATATCGAACGAATTACAATTCAACTCAACATTTGAACATGTTCATTAATTCAAATAATTATATTATTTCTAGCTCGTTTCTTATTTTTTATGTATGTAGTTTAAATGTACCTAAGTTTCTTTTCCCCTTAAACTTTATTTTTCTCCCTTCATTTTTTGTTTGGAGGGAGGGGTGAATGATTGCAAATTACCCTGCACTTTCTTCATTGTAAGGTTTGTTTGTCCTTCATTCTTATTCGCTTCAGTCAAATTATTACCAATACGACACGGTTTTTCTTTTTTTTTTCTTTTAATTTTTCTTTATTGTTAATGTTTTTGTTTAGTGTTTGTTTGTTTGTTTGTTTGATTGTTTGTTTGGTTTTTTTTTATTTGTTGGGGAGGTTAACTTTATTAAAGATAAGTAAAAGGGAAATATCGCATGCTCCGAGTCCGCCGCCCGTCCTCCCTCGTGCATTTGAAATAACATCATGCATCTATTATAAAAAAAGGTTGATTTATCGTTTGTTTTTATTCTAAGAACTTTGGCATTTTTTTTTTATTTTGGCCCATTATACTCTATTCTGTAAACCACAGCGAGGCTCTCGTGGAAATCATATTATCATTACTTAACATGACACAAAAGCTGTATGTCTGTAGAGATTATTTAATATATTTGCTTATTGTAATTTTCCCCTTGCTGACCAAGGTTTTATGCCGGGTTTACGGCAACGAGACAGCAAGCAAACAACAAATTCTAGTACATCTTTTCTAGGTTTTAATCATTATTTACGAAATTTCAGGATCGCCATTATGACACAGCTGACCTGTGGAATATGACAGGGTTAACTAATAGTATTCAACGGGACAATTTAGTTATGTGGGGTGTGAGGGCAAATTATAGACACCAACGACGTTGAGAAGGTGGCACTATTTATTCTTTTAAGCCATTTTTAGCAAATTATAAGCAGATTAAGGGGGTGTGAGAATGTGGCCAACCCCTTATGGAGCCGGCTACATATAAGGTTAATGCATAGGCCCTTTAAATGTTCTACTTCTAAAATTGCCTAATTTATGCCCCCCCCCCTTTTTTTCTAAATCCTGGATCTCCATCTGCAGATATATATGATATATAGTTTTATTAAGTCTGCATTAGTTAAGACTAGAGACGGTTTATAATGTTCCACACTATAGTAAATTCATGTCCGACCATGGGATGTATGGCTTACACGACGTGTAGACATATTTATAATATTTGTTTAACCATAATACAGGAAAATACCTTACCAAATTAAAGCCAGTCAAGTTCCGCAGCCATCGTACGCAAGTTAAATTTCATATCTATTCCTGCAATGTCAAATTCAAGCCCAATATCAATTCCTCTTGAAGATCATTGATTTACAAAAAAAAATGATAGGGAAGTATTGATATCTGAATAAATGATATTTTCGCACATTTTACAGCTTTTTGAATCACACATCTTAATCCCATGAATCCTTGCACGTGACTGCCTACACCTCGATTTAAAAAAAAAAACAACATTGAAAATATATGAGAGTTTGCATGGGCTTAACAGGATAGCAGATAATGCCCGGCGAAATATACAGAAAAATCATGGAACAAAAAATAAAGAATAGAGAAAAAATAGGGCAAACAATAAAGAAGCGAATAAAATATAAAGAATAGAGAATAACGTTTCTCGTTTTTTATATAGATTAGATCGTTGGTTTTCCTGTTTGAATTGTTTAACACTAGTCATTTTGGGCCCTTTATAGCTTGCTGTTCGGTGTGAGCCAAGGCTCCGTGTTGAAGGCCATACTTTGACCTATAATTGTTTACTTTTTACACATTTTGACTTGGATGGAGAGTTGTCCCATTGGCACTCATACCACATCTTCTTATTTCTATAAAACATATAAAGAATAGAGAATAATGGACAAATATATAAAGAATAGAGAATAATGGACAAAACATATAAAGAATTGTGAAAAATAACATAAAAAATCAAAGAATACAGAAATGAAGGAAACCATCTAGACCCTTATATATTGTCTGATCAAACATAGGGTGTTAAATGCGATACTTGTTAAAAAAAGATAGGAATTGCACGAATGAAAAATTATCTACCAGAGATCAAATGACGTTGATGTATTAAAAAAACAGATAGGTCACCCTGAATAATGAAACAATGAGCAAAATCCATGCCGTACAGTAAGATAAAAATGGCCCTTGAATGGCAAAATGTAAAACTATGTTTGTGAGCTCTCAACCCTCCCATAACCTTGAATAGTGGCGTAAAGACACAACATCAGAATAAACTGTAACAAGCTTAAGAGTGCACACGCTGAAATGTCTCGCCTGTTTTACTTATCATTGAATTTATGTTGAAAATCTGTAATATGAAGGTTTTACTACAAGTATCACATAAACTTAACATTGACCAATGAACCATGAAAATGGGGTCAAGGTCATATGAACCCTGCCAGACAGACAACAGACATGTACACCTTACAATCATTCCATACACCAAATATAGATGACTTATTGCTAATGGTATCTGATAAACTAACAAAATCACACAATTTATAATTGATCAATAAACTATGAAAATGAGGTCAAGGTTATATGAAACCTTGCAGACAGACAATCATTACATACGCCCTATTGCTTATATAGTATCTGAGAAATAGACCAAACCACAAAAATGAACATTGTTCAATGAACAATGAAATTGAGGTCAAGGTCAGTCGGACACGTACCCCTTACAAGACCTATTGCTTACATTATCTGAGATACGGACATGACCACGTAACTTTAACCTTGGTCACTGATCCATGAAATAAGGTCGAGGTCCGATGAACTTTATTTAATGCTTTAAAAAAAATCTGTTGAATTTTGGTACCATTTGGTGAATAAATGCAGGAGGAAAAAAAAAGGTATGCTTCAATTGCTTAAATAAGAAGTTGAAATTTACAGAATGCATGTTAGTCAAAAATATGGAGGGGAAGGGGGGGGGGGGGGGGGTGGTTATATTGCATATGAAAAAAAAATCAAAATTATTGATCAAAGAAACGATCCACTGTTCAATGCTACAAACTGAAGAATTATTTATCTGAAACATATAGCTAGATATGTAGATTTCTGGGAAATATTCTTTTTCATGACAAGACCAATCCTAATCATTCTAATAAAAACAAACTTCACACTTCATGACAGAAATTGTTTCTGAATCCTATTTATTTCATGTATTAGAATTGTATACTATGTATATTGATTTATTTGAATAAAATATTGTTTAAAATAAGACAGAAAATTAATATAAAATGAAAATGTAGACCGGTACAAATATCTAATTTTATCAAAATAAGATAAATGTAAGTTACTGTAATTTGATTATTTGACAAAGGACACTAATAAAACAAAGATTAATTTAACACTTAAACCCAGAGAAACAATTTCTCGATGATATGAGACAGACATTTTTGTTCTCTATAGATGGGAAATGTTTTTCATATAGTATTAACAAGATTATAATTCTTAACAAGAAAGGAAGATGCCAAAGGGATATTTAACTCATAATTCTTGTCGAAGACAAACTGACAACACCATGGCAAAACAAAAAAGAAAAACGAAAAGGCAAACAGCAATCTACAAAGAGAACATAAAAAAACGAAAGACGGAGCAACATGAATTTAACCCCAAAAAAAAACGGTTGATCTCAACTGCTCAAGTAAGGTAAAAAGATCCGGCTCCACATGTGGCTCTCGTGTTGTTGTTCATGTAAGTAACAAATTCGATGATCAGTTTCGTTCTGTGAAATCAACACGTAGAGATACACACTTTGTTCCAAAAGAATGCCGATTGTTTTTTTTTTTTTTTCAAAAACACGTCACCCAAACGCAACAAATATGTTAACAATCAAGATATCGATAGTCTCGAAAATGTCAGTTTCAGAGAATATTTTGTCTCATCCAGAGTGTTTTTTTCAGTTTACAAAGTATGATTCATTACTTCCTAAAACAAGATATAATTTGTGTCTACGTTGTCCATTCTCTTCTTTCTCTTTTATGAAACAAATTTGGACTTATTCTTTCAAATCTGTCTTCAATTTTAGTTGAATTTTATGTTTCACAATAGCTTGATTGCTGAAGTAATTGATTGTAACAGTTTGAAAAGAAGTTTCGTAGAGCACTTGAAAGACCTAGCAATATAAGAGGGTCTGGATGGGGTTTAAAAAAATAGAGAAAAATGGGCGAAAAATGTAAAGAATAGAGAAAAATGTACAAAAAATGAAGATTAGAGAATAATGGGATCCTAAAACATAAAGAATGGAGAATAATGGGCAAAACATATAAAGAAAAAAAAAATGGCCTAAAAAATTAAAGAATACTGAAATGAAGGACCCCATCCAGACCCTCATATAACGTTATTTGTATTATACATGTAACTCATCAAACTTAGGTACCCAATACATTTAAGGAATATCTATTTCTGCATCTTTGGTTGAAATCACAAAAGAACATATATAAAAGACTTATGAATATGTTTTTAAGATTTCTCTTTGGTAAGTGTCGAGGGGTTAGTGTTGAGTTTCCAAATGAATTGTGAATATCTAGTTCCTTTAACCAAATAGTTTATGTCAGACTTTATCTGTGGGGACAGCACTCCCATTGAACATTTGTGTCATGAAGGTAGGACAGCGCTTAGCAACATTTGGGTCTTAGAAGATCGATGATTGTTGCTTCAAATCAATGTTTGCACCATACACATTATTTATTCCAGCTACACGTGGAGATCAATATGAATATAATTCTTTTTATCATTCTAGAAAAATACCTTTGTTAAGGTCTAGTAGAAGGTAATCTTGTTATTCACTTTTTTAACTTTGTGATACGTTCTTATAGTTTATTACCATGACTATCTTTATCACAAGAAAGAGCTTATTTCCTGTGATTTATGAATTCATCTTTATCTATTTTGAATGGAAAATATATAGTTTTGTCTTTGACACCAGCAGCATCAGCCGCGTGAGCATGCAGCATCATGCAGCAACATCGGCATTTCTGCGTGGCTGGACGTAGCTTAAAATTTTAAAGATTTGAATGAAACATAAAGATGACGGTGTTTGTATATGTTAGTTCGTAAGCTATACTCCATGGAATCACAGAATCTTTCAGCAAAGATTTTGTTCATTAAATTCGTGTTTGGTGGAACAGATCTTTAACTTCTTTCACAAATTTTAGCCGAGTTCCGGCCTGAGACTACCAGAATAGTATAATATATAGTAGTCTCAGCTCCGGCTGAAAACACAAAACACAACTTTTCAGTTAATCAGGAGATTTATCGTTTAAAATTTTGTGTAATAGAATCAGTTTATGCTGCACAACCAGTCTCTCTCGGAAACTTAACCAATTTAACCATGTTAATGTCACAAATAAAATTGAGAATGGAAATGGGGAATATGTCAAAGAGACAACAACCCGACCAAAGAGCAGACAACAGCCGAAGGCCACCAATGGGTCTTCAACGCAGCGAGAAAATCCCGCACCCGGAGGTGGTCCTCAGCTGGCCCCTAAATAAGATTGTGTACTAGTTCAGTGAAAATGGACGTCACACTAAACTCCAAAACATATACATGAACTAAAATTAAAAAAACATACAAGACTAACAAAGGCCAGAGGCTCCTGACTTGGGACAGGCGCAAAAATGCGGCGGGGTTAAACATGTTTTGTGAGATCTCAACCCTCACAAAGTTCTCTTGATAGCGTAAAGAAAGCCGGGCAATTAGAAATTATTCTTGCAGTTTTTATGGAGATTTGTTAATCTCTGAAAATATTCTTCATTCCAATCAATTTTTTTAAGAGGGACATTATATAAAAGAGGGGCGAAAGATACCAGAGGGACAGTCAAACTCATAGATCGAAAATAAACTGACAACGCCATGGCTAAAAAATAAAAAGACAAACAGACAAATAATAGTACACAAGACACAACATAGAAAACTAAAGACTAAGCAACACGAACCCCACCATAAACTGGGGGTGATCTCAGGTGCTCCGGAAGGGTAAGCAGATCCTGCTCCACATGTGGCACCCGTCGAGTTGCTCATGTTATTACAAATCCGGTAAATAGTATAATTCCGTAGGTCACATATATAAAGATGCCAGCCAGACACACTTCAACTTCGTACAACACCTTCAGATTACCATATCCGCCGTTGAAGGCTAAACTTATTGTTACCCTGGAATGGTAGTTCATGCCAATGCAATGCCTGCAAATAATTAATGCTTTATTTCTTAGTGCTTTTTTGCTTAATGTGCTATAAATGCTTCTGTGTTTTAAAGTGCTTTATATAGAAATAAGATGTGGTATGAGTGCCAATGAGACAACTCTCCATCCAAGTCACAATGCGGAAAAAGTAAACAACTATAGGTCAAAGTACTCCTTCAACACGGAGCCGTGGATCACACCGAACAGCAAGCTGTAAAGGGCCCCAAAATGACTAGTGTAAAACAATTCAAACAGGAAAACCAACGGTCTAATATATATAAAAAACGAGAAACGAGAAACACATATGAACCACATCAACAAACGACAACCACTGAACAACAGGCTCCTGACTTAGGACATGCTTTTAATATTGATTGCTTACGGTGCTTTTAATATTTCTGCATAGTATAACATATTTAACTTCTTCATGTCATTTATATTGTACATGTAATGATGTATGCTTCAAAACGGTAAAGATTTGCTTTGATTGTGTAGCTCTTGTGTATGTAGTATGCTTGCTTTGTTTTAAACGTGCATGTTTTAAATGTTTTGTTTGTAAGAAGACGACATAAAAGTTCAGTAGAGCTTATGTTTTCTGTATACTGATATTCGTCTATAAATAAAGCTTTTGAACTTTGAACTTGAACTTGAACGGAAAGTACGGATTAAAACTCCCCGTGAAGGGTTTCTTTTTTTAGAGGTTTCGGTCTGGTTGAATTTTTTAAGGAAACCAGATTGAATCAGCTGAAAGTGATAGACCGATCATAAACTGAACCAGACTTAAACATTGAACACTTTCCTATATAAGTAAGAAAATAAAGGATCCCAAGCCCCCCCCCCCCCCATGTGTATAATTCTAGAACTGTCATAACCTGTTATAAATATGTCCAGTGTAGATATTAGAGGCTCTTAATGTCTAAATTTACTAAAAGCAACACAAATAACCTTTTTTAATTTTTTTTTATAATACTAGTCCAAATAATTATGACAGTTTAAATTATGTCGTCTTGAACAGGTTGTGAACAACCCCTCAAGGTGATGACTATCCCTTTTATGAGGGGTAAATTTCAAGTCATACATTTTATTTTAAACCACTTTTAAGTACAAAAGGGCACATCAGGAACATATATATTGACGGGACTTGACACTACTTGATTGTAGTCGATTTTATCGTCGTGCCATAGTTAATAAAGATACGATACAGAAACGGACATGTGTTAAAAACGGACTCGCTATTATCCTAATAATTTCTGATATTATCAATAAAATGTCATTCAAACTAGTTTTATAGTGATGCTAGTGTATCAAACTTGTATTCTGTCACTTCAAATTTGTTAAAATCGCAAGCATTTCATCACATTATTGTGCAGAATGCAAACAAGGTAATAAAAAAATGGCGGCCATTGCCGCGATGATTTACAAATTCCAAAACTATCATAAAACACTTCACATCAAATAAATCAAACTTATTTTGGTAATTTTATATGACAAAATATATCTACTAAATGATAAAACTTGTATTTATTTACAATTAGAGTAATGTGGTTTATTTGTTGAGCAGTTCTGGTAGTTTTTCAGTCAGACGCTACCAAAATCCGTAAATCTCGGGAAGTCTCGGGGAGTCCGAGATTTTATCAATTTTTTACTGAAAAGCGTATCAGATTCATTTCCCGTTAGATATACTGTTCCCAGGGCACATATTTATACTATTTGCAGAAACTTTTCTCAAAGAACAATATGTCTATCTGGTATTATATTGCAAAACATGTCCATGAATTTTGGAATATTCATGGACTTCAATCTTTTGAAAATAAGAGGATCACTCTTTTAGAAAAGTTGTTCCAAATATAATGAATGTTCCCCCTTTTAAGTTGAAAAAGCTATTTTTTTCTTTTATACAACAGCAAAATAAGAGGGTAGTAATGCCCTTTATCGTCAGGCGTCAAACGGTCATTTTTGGCTACCGTTAGCGTCAAATTTGTTAAAATTTTACCGTGATTCGTCAAAATATCCTTAATGTGATTCGTCAGAGGTCTCAAATAATTATCGTTATCGTTTTTTTTATAAAATTTAACGTGATTCGTCAAAATCAGCCGATTTTTTTATCGTCTCAAAGAAAGTGTACATTTTATCGTCATGCACCAACAATAACCTTTAACGGCAATTGGCAATAATTTTTACCGTAATATTCGTCATGAAGGTACCCCCATTATGACCCTCAAATAAGAGATATCCCTCATTTAGGGGGTTGTTCCCAACCTGTTGAAAGGCTATTTAATTTTTTTCTGTGACTCCGTAGGACTGGACTACTTTTTTTACCTGTCTAAATATTAAATACACAGAATCTCTTGAGATGCAAATTTATTGTTTGATTGTTTCTCATAATATTTTTTTTTGTTTGTGGCATCACTAAAGAGGTATAGATTTGGTGAATAGAATTATTGTAAGGTGTACAGGTCTGTGTGGCAAGGTTCATCTAACTTTGACCTCATTTTCACATTGATTGGTCAATGCTAATTTTTGTGGTTAGTACAAAAATAAGAAGACATATGGTATGATTGCTAATGGGACAAATTTTTTTGGGTCAAATTTCAAAAATATTTATTTTTGGCCTATTTTGGAGGTAAAAATCAACGCTTAAAATAAAACTTGGACAAAAAAAGTTATATTTAACTTTCTCACATGTATTTTCATCAACTTAAAACATTTTTTTTCTTGAAACATTGAACTTCTTAATCGAGGCTAAATATGACCCATACCTAACTTATTCCTTTATCAGTAACTATATTATTTCTTAATTTTGTACATACATCATGTACATTGTAGGTTCATTTCTATAATCAGTGTTGTCTTACTAATGCATTAATTTTCCAGTGTTATTCTCTATTCGTATGCATCCACTAATTGTCTATTCTTTAATTGTTTTGCTAATTTTTCTTTATTCATTTGGCCATTATTTATTGTCTATTCTGTAAACCCCATCCATACCCTACATGCAATTACAAACAATCAATCATGTACAAGTATGAGGGTCTGGATGGTGGGTCCTTCATTTCTGTATTCTTTAATTTTTTAGGCTATTTTTCTTTATTTCTTATACTTTTTGCCCATTATTCTCTATTCTTTATATTTTTTGCCCATTATTCTCTATTCTGTTAACCCCCATCTACACCCTCAAGTATGCAACACCTTCTAATGCAATTGTATAATACAAAAGACATAAAAACACAAAAGCAGATATAAAACGCACAAAGAATATGTTTAGCACATTTAAAGAATGCAAGGCACATAAATCATAGAAAGTATTTATGTGCTGCACCTAAAGGTGTATGAATTTTCAACAGCGGTGTAAAATTCCTTACACCACTGATTACACAAAGATAACTAATACTCTACATTTTAAAATCTTTTCATTGCTTTTGCACTTTGTTTTTTTCTATTATAGGACTTGACATTTGCCATGGAGAATGGAGTTTATCAACAAAAGATGTAGTAGACGTGTTATTTGTATGGTGTGTGTCAGTCTGATAATTACCTACTTGGTGTTGTCATGGTTACAAACAGTACCTTCTATCCGACATTTACATATTGTAAGACAGATTTGGGACAAGGAATATTCTAGGTGTCTGGTTCATATCAACAGCGAAGCTAATTTGCTGAAAACTAAACAACAGCCGGTTTATATTACGGTAGCACTCTCAGGTCGTCTTGGCAACTGGTTATTTGCATATGCATCACTCATTGGAATTGCCAGGAAAAATAATGTGCTATTTTATACCAGTCCTGAATCAGTCAGAAAAGTTTCATTAGCAAATATTTTTAATTTGAAAAGTGTGCGAGCAGTTAATGCATTTTGTAGGCAACCAATTTATGAAGATTTACCATGTGCATACGATAAGAAAATGGAGTCACTTCCCGTTTCAAACATAACAATTCATGGCTATTTGCAATCTTGGAAATATTTTAAACATGTTGAAAAGCAAGTTCGAGAAGAATTTACATTTCAAAAGTCCATTATGTCAAATGCAGAACAAATATTTCGTCAGAATGTTCAGAATAATATTTCTTTTCAGACAACATGTATACATGTCAGAAGAACTGATATGATGATTGCATCATCTTTAAAAATAGGTTTCAAATCAGCTCCACTGGAATATCTTCATAATGCAGTGAATCACATGCAACAAAAGTTCAACAATAAAGTCAAATTCCTTGTCATCTCAGATGATTACAAATGGTGCTTTAAGAATTTGAAATTTCCAAATTCCATCATTATTCCCAGGAATACTCCAGGAGTAGATTTAGCGTTATTGTCATTGTGTAATAGTTCCATTATCACCACAGGAACATTTGGTTGGTGGGGAGCTTGGTTGGCAAATGGTTATACAGTATATTATAAAAACTATCCAGAACCTGGATCAAGATTGGACAGGGAAACAGTCAAGGAGGATTTTTACCCTCCATACTGGGTACCAATAAATAGTGCCCACAATCAGTCTACATCAAGATTTTATATCATTGTTATAGTAATTTTTGTATACAATAAATTGACATACATGTAATATATCTTTCAAAAGGGCTCTGTCGTTTTACCATTAATTGCTATTCACCAAAGGGAACCAGCTAGAAAGTGGAAAAAATAACTCATAGGAAATTATATTTTTGGAACTCACTTCATACATGTCTTACATGTCAGACTGTTTACATCAAAGTTTAATATGGGTTTCTCATTGCGGTATGTGCTTAACTTATGTTGATTTCAATCAAAAACAAGTGGGAAGAAAAAAAAATTACATGTTAAAGGGTACATGTTTAATTGTTTGGACAAATTGAAAAATCACTGCCAATTAACTATTTTTAAAGGAGTTATGCCCTTGGAAATATAGTTATAGGCTAGGAAATTTGCATTGCAAGCAGTCTTCAGACTACATTTCTTATAGGATTGTAATAAAATTTAAATCAGCAATGTCTCGGACTAGTTTGAAAATAAGTGCTTATAAATTATTTTTACAGGAGTTATGTCCCTTAAAAATTATGTAAATTCTAAAAGAAATTGCATTGTAAGCGCGCTCAAGTGTAAAATTCTTGCCAGATTTTTATGAAATGTCTTTCAAAGGTTTGTACAAACTTATCAGTAATGTCTCAGATCAGTTATAAAATCAATGGCAATTAACTTTTTTTTATAAAGTTATGACCCTAGGAAATACAAATTATAATGAAAATATAATTGTTAGCACTCTCACTCTTATATTTCTTGTAGGATTATTATGAAAATAATATCCAAGGTTAAAATTAGCAATGTCTGGGATGAGTTCGAAAATCAGTACTGATCAATTATTTTTACAAGAGTAACGTCCCTTTGAAATGTAATTTATATTGAACATTGCATTGTAAGCACTCTCACACATATATTTCTTGTTGGATTTTTATGAAAACTGTATCAAAGATTTATACCAGACAATAACCAGCAAGGAGTTGGAATGGTGCAGACCAATTTCATTTTCATTATAAGTTATTGCACTTGGACACTATATATAGCTTATATAGAGATTTGATATTTGATTTATCGATATGTTTAATGCTTCTTTGATCTTTATATATATATGATATATAAACATGTATTCATTTATTTTATATAGATGAAGAACAGCAACATGAGCAATAAATGTGGTGTTCCCTACTCTGAGGTTTTTATACGACCGCAAAAAAAATCTAAGAAGACATTTCGTTTTCGCACAATAACTTTAGTATAAGTAAATAGAAATCTATGAAATTTAAACACAAGGTTTATGACCACAAACGATAGGTTGGGATTGATTTTGGGGGTTATGGTCCCAACAGTTTAGGAATAAGGAGCTAAAAAGGGGCCCAAATAAACATTTTTCTAGTTTCCAGACAATAACTTGTGGAATGGTGTATGGATCTCTCTGAAATTATACGACAAGTTTCCATACCACAAAGGGATGGTAAAAATTGGCTTTGGGGGTTATGGCTCAAACCGTTTAGGAATTAGGGGCACAAAAGGGGGAAAAACAAAGGGTGTCCTGGTTAATGGACAATTACTTAAGTACAAAACATAATTTAAAAGCAGTGTAAGGGAAGTAATTCAAACACAACATTTTGAATTACCTCCCTTACACTGCTTTTAAATTATGTGTATAAAGAAATGTTGTATTGTCTTTAGGTGATTAGCTGTCAATTTATTTTTAGAAGTTACTATTTTTAAAATGCTGATGAAGGTAATTTAATTTAAGCCATGATTATGTATGTCATTTTCTATTTTAAGACTTTTATGATGTATTTAAATGGGTTATTATGGTTGCAAACTCCATTGGAAATTTGAATTGAGATTATGACCATATCTTGAGGGAAAGAATTTTTTTTTTTGGAAAAAGGTGGGTGGGTAAAAAAGAAATTGTGAGGGGCAAGGGCAATTTGGGGGGAGGGGGGTCAATTCACAACAGCATAGTGTATTGCACAAAAGCAAAAAAATGAATATAAATTCAAATCACATAACCAATTCAAGTTCTTTGACTACAGTTATTCTGTGTCAGAAACCTATTATGTGTCAAATATTTAATTACAATCCAAATTCAGACCTGTAACAAGTGTGAATATTGTGTCCATTTTTGCCCCAACTGTTCAGGGTTGGACCTCTGCGGTCGAATCCAGCTTTGTTAGGCTAAGCAATTTATTTATACATGTGTGCATGTAATGATTTTTTATCATAAATTGATACATAATGATAAATTAAATCAAAATGAAGTAATGTTAGCTTTTGTAAACATGTATATTGCAAGTGTATCATAACATGTTATTATTTTATTATTTTTATTTACGTTGAATCAGTTTATATAGTTTTACTTTCTGTTATATACATAAGTGTGCCATAATTTATTAAGAATTGGTGCTTAGCAAGGAGTTTTAATTTTAAACCAAGTTTAAAAGTACCACTGAAACATCAGTTTCTGATTACAGATCAGTGTGTGGATGCATTGACAATCAATAAGGGCTATTCCATTAAAAAGAACGCAGGAGGAGCCTCGGTGGCTGAGTGGTCTAAGTAGTTCATCCTCTGTATCATATCATTATCCTGTCAACACTGAGTTGTGAGTTCAAACACTCAAGTGGCAGGTTTGTTTGACTCTAATCTTAATTGAGTAAGATTTTCAGTTTTTCTGTGTAGGTCAGATATTCTCTCTGGCTTCCTCCACTAATAAAAATGGACTGCTATGATATACATATATATATATAGCGTCAATAGTGCTGAAAGTAGTGTTAAACGCCAACAATCAATTAATCATGAAAGCAGGATGTATGAGGGGCGGAAGAACTTTTTTTTCTGGAATACAGGATTGTGCCATTTTATTCATTGGAATAAGGGAACAGCCAGTTAAATATTCAGGGATTTAATTATATCCTGATGCGGGAACAATCATATTTTTTCACAGGATTCAGGATTTGGCATTCATTTTCTCAGGAATTTTGGATGAAACCCCCATCATTTACCAATGTTTGTGGTTTGTCATGTCCTTTTGATGTATGCAAAATTAATTGAAGAAATCATGTTGTTTGTAATTGGATTTATGGAAGTCCCATCCTACCCATTCACATTCATTTAAGTGGGTCTCATTGGGGTCTAAGCGTGACATGGGATTGGCCGATTTTTTGTAAGTGTGCCAAGTGAAAGTCAAATTATAGTGCGTAAAAAACCAGAAACAAAGTCCGACAGGACACTTGCAATTACAAGTGTTATCATTACAATGAAAAGCAGGATACAGGAATCTGACAAAACAATAAGAGGCATCCCGGATCAGACCCCCTCACCCAATTATACCCCATTTAAATGGAATAGCCCTAGTGGACCGTAACAATGAGAACTACCTTCGCCTACATTGTATTTTGTGCTTTAAGGAACAGATTTGAATTTTCAATTGTATTTTTTAACATGGTGTATTTCAAACTTTGTTATTTAAACATTTTGTATTCATAAAAAATATAAAGAAGCTGGGCATTTAAGGGAGCTACCATTTGATTTTTATGGGGGAGGCTAGGATGAAATTTGAAAAAAATAGGCAGGACAGGAGTTTTGAGAAAAAAAAAGGCAGGATGAGATTATTTGCAAAAAAAAAAAGGGCAGGATGACAATTTATGTAAAAAAAAAGTCAGGATAAATAAAAAAAAAAAAAAGGCAGGACCGAATAGAGTGAGAAATAAAAAGGCAGGACAGAATAGAGGGGAAAATAAAAAGGCAGGACAACATTTTTCATCCTAGCCCCCCCCCCATAAAAATCAAATGGTAGCTCCCTAACTTTAAGATTACCTGTCTATATAGTCATTTGCAATTTTACTTATGTTAGAGCAATTTACGCAATTATCTTGAAAGTTTTAAACTGCATTATGTATATAGTTATCAGAATCACTTTCCTCCTAGATTGCATCTTTTCCATTATATGGTGACTGAGGTAAAGTGAAAATGTATCTTGATGTACCAGTTATTTAGACTTATCAGCTTACTCAGCTGAGATCACTATCTTGTCTGTCAAATGTTTGAGTTATGTCCCTATATACATGAAAAATTGCTGATTTTGCCGTTTCCACTCTAATTTTACTTTTCCTGAACCAAATATCATGAAACTTATACACAATTCTTATTATCACCAAACACAGATTAAGTTCGAAATTGGGGTGGCGGGGCATCTGTATCCAACAAACACATTCTTCTTTTATTGAACATGTTAACCCCTTAATCTATGAAATTGATAAAAATAAGTACCCTCAAATTATGAATCCACTGTATTTGGTACCAAAAGAGTAAAACTAAAATACAGAACTCCAAGGTAAATTCAAAAAGGGGAAGTCCATAAAAACTGATAAAATTAAATGTTTTCAACCTATGATTGAGTGGAAACCATGTGAGGTTTGATCTTTTAATGCTTTTACCTTTGATCAGAATTTGTGTTTGTTCCTAGTTTAATAATTTGATTTTGGATGTAACTCGTCTTCTGATTGGCTGACATTGTTTTGTTTATCAGCTGATAGACATAATTTTGTCATGTGACCGTGACGTCATCAACGTTTTTTTATGGTTTACTCAGGTTTTAAATGAAATTTAGAATTAAATTATAAGAAATGACTGTAATATTTTTTCTGTCTATTCGAAATAACATTTTATACGCGGGTTATTCAGTGTGCACCACATTTTTGATGTTATTTCTTCATAGACAGAAAAAATATTACAGTCATTCCTTAAATATTTCACTTGTTAATCTTGTTCTATAAGGAATACCACTACATGTATATTATACAAAATGTATTTTGCAGGGCATATGCCGAATTAATTATATAATAGTCGTATACATGTATTTATCTTGTTTATACATTGATTAAATTTGATTGTTAAGTTTTTAAATGATTCATAATTATTGTATAATAAATACTGCATTACTTTTGATCAAAGTATGAAATTACACTTTCGTTATTAACTGTTAATTGTTTGTGAAGTTGGAAATAGTCACTTTCTTGGAATTCTGTCGCCCCAAACAATCTTTATCAAACTAAAAGTTAACTTAAGTTTGCCTCAACAAAATATTATGCGCTCATACACAATGCTTATTTTCACTAGTCACAGAGCAAGTTCAAATTTGTGTGGCGTCACTTTCAATGTTCTGGATCGAGTTATGTTCCTTTATAAATGGAAAAATTGCTGAAGTTGCCGTTTCCACTCTGATTTTATTTTCCGTAACCAAATGTTGTGAAACTTATACTCAAAGCTTATTACCACCAAACACAGACCAATTTCGAATTTTGATGGCTTATAAATCACTTTTATAGTTCTCCAGTTATGTCCCTTCATAATGGAAAAATTGCTGAATTTAAAGTAGATTTGCAAGCGGGGGCATTTGTGTCCCATGGACACATTCTTCTTTCATTTAAAATGTAAACCCCTTTATCTATGAAATGGATAAAAAATAAGTACATACAAATTATAATGAATCCACTGTATTTGGTACCAAAAAAAGTACAACTAAAATACTGAGCTCCAAGGCAAATTCAAAAGGGGAAGTCCCAAAAAACTGACTAAGGTAAATGTTATCCACCAACAGAATGAGTGGAAACCAAGTAACCTTTAAATACTTTTACTATTGATCAGAATTTTTGTTTGTTCCTAGTCTTATATTTCATCTGTTAATCTTATTCTTAGGAATACCACTACTACATGTATGATATACATATGTATTTTGCAGGGCATATGCCAAATTAATATATATTTCATTTTGAAATAGTCTTATATTTATCATGTTTATACAAATTTGATTGTTAAGTTTATTTTAATGATTTACAATTATTGTATGATAAATACTGCATTAATTTTGATTAAAGTATGAAATTACACTTTGTTGTTAATTAGTCCCCTACCGACGAAGTCGAAGGGGACTTTAGGTTTGCACTCTGTCTGTCTGTCTGTCTGTCTGTCTGTCTGTCTGTCTGTCAGTCCGGCAAATCAGTTTTCCAGACTTTTTTTCTTTGTGCTTGAAGATATTGATTTGATATTTGGTTTATTGTTTTATCATGACAAGTTACAGGTCAAGTTCAATTTTCATGATTTTAGCTTTTCTCTTTGTTCAGTTAAAGCCTTTTCCCTAGAATTAAATTTTTGATAAAATACTTACTAATTAGTAGATTTCTGTTCAAAGGGAAATAACTCATTTTTTAAAAGATTTTTAGGACTAAATGACATTTTTGATTTTTTTCCTTTTCTTTGGTAAATTGTTTGAAGATATTTAGTGGTAGGTTTGTTGGTCATTCTTGAAGATATTGATTTGATAATTAGTATATAGTTTTATCATGACAAGTTACAGATCTGACAAGTTGGAATTTTTTTCCGGTCTGATGATTTTGTGCAGAGTTATGGTCTTTGGACATAGAAAATTCACTTAAATAATCAGTTTTCAATAGTTGTTTCGTCATGCTTGAGGATTTTGACTTGATATTTTTATGTAGTTCACACCATGACAAGTTATAGATCAAGTTAGAATTTCCTTCCATTACAATGAATTTTTAACCGGTAGCTAGGGGACTATGTATTGCCATGCAATACTCTCAGAATGCTTGTTAATTGTTTGTGAAGGTGGAAACAATCACTCCTTTCTAGAAATTCTGTAGCCCCAAAAATCTTAATCAAACTAAACATTGCGTCTTTGCCTGCATAAAAATTTAGTTTATGTGATCTGAAACACTAGATTAAAAATGGACAAAACTTGCTAATGGTACAATATAATAATAAGGAGATGTGGTATAATTGCTAACAATTCAACATAGTTTAAATGACATGGATTTTAAGCAATTACAGGTCACTGTATGGTCTTCAACAATGAGAAAAACTTATACTGT